CATTATGCTTATTTCACTTTTTTTGCTGTCATGTTTAGTTGAATAAGTAATATATATATATCAAAAGATTGTATATTTTAATGGTGATTGTCCATAAATTAATAATGAAATATATGTATGATTCATTATAAAAACGAAATAAATTATGAAAAAAATTGCCCACACTTATCTTTAAAAATGTTATTATTACGTAAATCTTACGGTAGAAACAACTTTAGGTTTCTCACAGACATTGAGGAAAAGAAAGAAACGCCATTTTGTTTAAACACATTATTAATTTATTTATACAACATATATATTATTGTTAATCGAAATCGTTGTTTTCTTCTCCTTGCTAGAAATTATTCTAGGCATGCATTTTAACATGTAAGTAAATGAATTAATGCCATACTAACTTACGATCAGATTAAAAAATGTTAAAAAATGTTGCGACAGCTTTAAACCTTTTAACAAAGTTGAAACAATTAATGTGCATTTCCATTTTCCTTAAATCTTAATCGAAATGTATTAAAAAATAACGCAAACAATTTTAATACGATACTGAAAATTTATTAAGCATGATAAACGGTTATAAAAACCTTTCAGGCAGGGTAAATGTTACTATCATAGTATGTCGATCATGCAAGAGTAATGTCCCTGTTGTTCGTATAAATAAACTCCATATTTGTTTTAAGTAAATCTTCAAAAATGTGTGTAATTATCGGAGTTAAATAGTGGGGCGGGAAATTGAGAAAATAGTGCAAATTGTGATACAAGCATGAAACTTTCAGGAAATCATCTTTAGACCATGTAGATTTCAAAAGTGAAGTGGGCCCAAAAATATCTCTGCACATTCAAGATGGCCGCCATTTTCAAAATGGCCGCCATATACAGTTGACGTACTAACTAACTCATTCATTCCAATTTTTGGTAGAGACCTTTAACTAACTTCAAAAGCATGCATATAGTTTGTCCTTTTCAAAAATTTAAATCTTACAAAATTTCTCTTTCATGCCTCTTCCAAATCCAAGATGGCGTCCAATATGGCCGTCGATTTTGTGCAAAACTGTTATATCATTTTTATAGAATAATTTGTTGCACAAATTATGTTTATTATGATAAAAAGTGTTTAAACATATCAGAGATAATCAAATTATATGTTAATCTCAATAAAAGTAAACATTTTAAAAGTTTTTGTCTTAGAAATATCTTTTAGAAAGATCAAGAAAAAAATCCATTTTTTTCATATTTTTCAAATTTGATTTCCTTAATTAATGTACAAAGTTAAAAAAGTTACTTTATATCTTAAACTGTATTTGACATTCCATTAATATCATGTGTTTATTGTAAAAAATGTAAGAAAAACATTAAATCTGTAGGATTTATATTTTGTGAAAGTGGGTGGGGTAATTTTATACGGTAATTATTGTAAAAGAAAAAACAACAGAAAATAAACATAGCTAAGTTCATTCTATTTCTTTGCCTTTTTGCTTTTCTATGAATTCTAATGCAAATGTTCCAACTTAAAAAGTAGTTTTTATTGGATGAAAGTATTTTTGTCTTCCTTCGGGCCAAGTGGCTAAGCAAGAAATGCACATACAAACATGTGTATACATTCAGTTATTAAATTTGGTTGCATGATAATTTTTGTTTCAATATATTTGATATCATATATTAATTGTTAATTGTAAAGACATATAAGAAGACAATAAATCAACTAAACGTGCTTAAAATAGCAAGCATGTACATGAATGTAAGGTATAAAGGTAGTCCATAAACGCATATTTTTGACTCCTTCACAATTTTATATTTATAATATAAACATGGCTTAAAAGCCAACAAAATGTATATGATGTGAAACAGATATATCAATGATATGGCCTGGCCTGCATGCAGTTTTTTGAAAAGTTAAGATACAAAGTAAGTGTATTTCCTAAAGTAATCATATCTCATTTTTTTCTTTCAATAAGAGGGCAATGATGACCCTGGATCACTCACCTAAGATCATTGTTGGAAAAAAGGTAACAAGATCATTTTGGGAGTGTCAATTATGTCATAACACACATGATTTGTGTCATAATTGAATCCGGTTGCGTTTAAAGAAACATGCTCAATATCTAGTTTCAATTTTTTTCACACGAGAGGACTTTAATAACCATATTCATATATGAGTCCATATAAACTTAGTAAATTTTGACCATGTTGACCATGATATATCAAATATAGCCTAGTTATTGGGCATGTTTCTTTTCAAATAGTATATAAATTCATGACTGTATTTGGTGAAAAAAGATACTCCTTATATGATTTTAGCATTCTTCAGTATTAAAGAATTATAGACCTTAAAATTCCAGCCAACTATCAACTATTCTCTATTGTTTAATGGGGAAAATAAAGTATGAATACATTTAGTTTATATTCCAAATCATAAGCTATGTTATGTGGGTCAAGCGGTTTTATTGATACCCATTTTAGCACACATAGATAATATGATGTATCAGTCGCCTTAATTTTTGTTTCTTTTGAAAATATCATGTCTACATAAGTTATTAGAAATGGACAGTACTAACTCAATTATACTTGGTTACAAAGATGTGCAAGTAAATATAACTTTGAATCATTCTGTTACAAGCATTTAGCAAGACTAAATTGTCCAGGAAATAATTTTATTCATAAATAGACAACATTTCACTCAGGTCCAGGCATGATTTTATCTAACATATGGTTCGTTGATGAATATTCAGTCTTCTTTCTGTACAATTATCAAATTATATTAAGAATATTGAAACAACTTATATCATGCAAACACATTTAATAACTGAATGTATACATATAATTGTATCTGCATTTATTGATATTTTAGTACACCCTCTAGACCTGAAGGAAGACCAAAATACCTTAATACAATAAAATACTTTTACAGTGAATATTTGCATAAGAATTCATAAAAGACGTTATTTTGTACTACAATTGTCTGATAAATTTACCCCACCCACTTTGAATAAGTATAAAACCTTCACATTTTTTGTTTTTGTTACAATTATACAATAAAACATAGTGTTGATTCAATATCAAATACACTTTAAGAAACTATGTAACTTTTGGAATTTTGTACATAGACCTAGAAAACCATGTTAGAGAAAAATGCAAAAAGTGGCACTTTTTCTTTGATATTGTTAAAGATTTTTTTTTTGTACAAAAAACTAAAAACATGACTAACAATGTGGTTAACCTAAAATTTGATTTTGATTTTAATATGTTTAACAATTTTATATGGAAAATAAGCATACCGTGTGCAAAAAATTATACTACAAAAGAGATATATCAGTTTTCATTAAAATTGGCAGCCATATTGGACGCCATCTTGGATTCTGAAGAAATATGCAAGCTAAATTGCTGAAAGATTTAAATATTTGAAAAGGGGAAACTATATGCATGCTTTGGTGTAAGTTTCAAGTCTGTACAAAAAATTGGAATGAATGAGCTATTATGTACGTCAAATTTATATGGCGGCCATCTTGAAAATGGCGGCCATCTTGAATGAGCAGAGATATTTTTGGGCCCACTTCACTTTTGAAATCTACATGGTCTAAAGATAATTTCCTGAAAGTTTCATGCTTGTATCACAATTTGCACTATTTTGACAGCAGAGACCTTATTTTCCGCCCCACTAAAAGTACACAAAATAAAAGGAAAAGAAAACATTATTTGATCACATAAATCAAGTAACAACAATGATGTTAACAACATTAATAAACTACATGATATGCCTTGTTTCAATAATATTCTGTTATTTTGGATACTTAATACATGTATACATGATGAATTACAAATAATTTCAAGAGTAATCCTGACACATTTTAAACATTGTATGTTCAGAAATACATTATAACAACTCAATATTTGTTAATATGTAAATATAGAGATTAACAATATCTGTCATATTTTGCGGTTCATATCGGAATATCCGTCCCGAGGGGACCCGCCAATGGGCCGAACATCAAACATATGTCTGATATTTTTTCTGCATATTCTACCATATTCAACCATATTTTAAATTCTTTACCTTAATAAAAACAATTTGCCACTGACATTTATGCTATTACACGCGTAAGTGTAAACATATTTTCTTTTTATTTTATGCTCTTTTTCGATCTTTTAAAACAACTGAATGATTTTATTCAAATATCAAAATGTGGCTTCCACTCTTGAAGCTTTTATTTTTTACCGCCTGTCTGATGAAATATGAACCTTTACCCATAAAACATAAGTACAAAATAAACATGAAGATGTGGTGATGATAGTATTAAGATTATCAAAAAACAAAATTAAAAATGTTATGACTTAAAGTTTACTTTAAAAGATAAAATAAGCAATTCCGAAATATGAAACATTTAAATTATTTACGATGTACTGGTTTGGTATTAACCAGCTTGGTGACAGGTTGTCCAGAATTCAAATAATTGTTTATTGACAAGATTTGAGTTTCTAAATGCGTTTTTAACAGATATACAATTGGTTTTTATAATTTAAAACCATGATTAAAAAATTGTTGTCACATGTGTATACATTCCAGAAACGGCTAGGACTTCTGAAAACATATATTTTTGCAAAGCTGTATTACGAACACTGGGTTATTTTATTTAGCATTTTTGCTGTAACAAAAAGTGAAATTATATTTTTATATTTTTCACTGTGACGTTATAAAATATATTTTTATTGATATATCCTTATTTCACTTAAAACGTAAGATGAAAGCAATTGATAAGGCATAAATGTCAGAGTAATCACAAAGCAGTATAAAAGTGCAACGAGCATAATAACATATTAACGCAAGTTATTACAAAATTCAAGTTCATACAATAATTAAAAAAAATCAAATATATGAAGCATATCTAATACATACATGTAATAAAATTAATAAAAGGTGATATTGTGCTATTACACCGTTTTTTGAAGATATTTACATGCAAATATAAACTTAAAAATAAGCAAACAGATGTTAAAACCAAGAAAAAACGTAAAAGACCAAGCTTAGACGTTATCGAATATTAAATTCTAATTACCTCCCTTATTTACATGACATGTTTAATTTGGTAATATCTTTACAAATAATATTTTTGAAACTTACAATATTGACAGGTCTTCATTTGAGCGTCAGATTTATAATATAAAACCATGAATAGTTGCGTTACAGCGTCTTTAAGGGCTTTTTTGCATGAGAAGAAGATAATTAGACTTTGAAAAACTTTTACCGAGTCATATAAAAAAATCTAGTGCATAAAGATCTCGATGAATATCCAAGTCTTCGACCTCGGTGAAGATGACCAGGTCTATGGATCTTTTTTCAGTAAAACCTTAACTTTCTGAGCAATTTCACATTACTTTTTAAAATTATTATGTCAGGTAAGCTACCAAAGGACGCATGGACATGACTTTTACCCACTGACTTTTTCTCTCTTCTGTTTTTGTTTGTTGCCCTGCTGGGCTTCTTGCCGAAGGTCCCGTGTTGCTAGTTTTGGGGGGGATGCATTCATTGAATGCCGCCCATTCTTGTTGATTTTTGTTTTCATAGTTGATGTTACATCCAGTTTGTCATCATATGTCTGATGAAACGTTGGCAAAACGCGTAAATAAATACCAAAGTAGTGTATTTTCATTAGCGCCTTTATGTGGTTCCAAAAATATTACCAAAATTAATAATGACCTCGGCCACTGTCTTGGTAAACATTGATCTTTGCGGTACATATCATATTAAAACACTACAAAATCCGCATTCAAAGCATATCATGAAAGATACGTATAAGAATTATAAAAAAAGTAAATTTGGCCATGTTTGGCGTCTTCCAAGGAATCCACAATTTACTATCTGTAGGAATATTTAATGTTTTAAAACAACAGATAAATGATGTAATAACCTTCCCTTTCATTTATTTTCTTCGCTTGTTTTGGCTTTATCACCCTTAGATCTGTTATCTTCTGAAAGTTGCTTCGTACAAGTCTTGCCTCTAGTTTTGGCTTTTTCCTTCTCTGGACAAATGAAACATACATAAAGAAGTTCAACAAAAATGTTAAATATAGTGTTTTATATATAAATTTAAAGTACTTTTTAACAACTGCCATTTACTAAAGTTTGATATATTAATATTTCAGTATTTCACTCGATGCCAGAAGTTCACTGTAAACCTCATTTTTTTATTCTAAATTTATTAAAGTTTTGATCTGCATAATTTTATTACTGATCTTTATCTATCCAAAGGTTAAACCTGTACAAACCTATTATTGCAAAGTTGTAGACTGGGTTTTCAATAGTAGTACAAATAATATCAAACACCCGTTCTTCATCCTTTTTCTGTTCTTCTTTGTCTGAAAAAAATAAAATAAACAGCTTACATTGTTATAAGCTATTTCCTGGATAACGACACTCATAACATTAACATATCATTACCTTGATATGTTATCTCATACACAGTACCCTGATAAAGAACAGGTTGAAAAAAGCTTTTGAATACCTTAATCATACATCTGTTAATAATATTAAGCTTTTTTCATTTTCGTCCTTCGTAAATATATGTATCAAAATAAAAAATGTAACAGTTGTAGTTGAAAAAGATCATTTAACATTGTTACATACAAAACTATAAAAACGTACCTTTATCCTTTACTTCTAATACAAATACGCAAGAGAAAATAATGTCTTTCTCAGGATATTGTAAATTGCTTTTTGAGGGTAGATTGTCAGCTGGTGTCGTTATATCACTGTTGGTTTCCAAATACTTATAGATATACTCATTTTCCGTCTTTACATACTTTTTCAGTACCTTATACCTAAAACAAAATTGTACATACGTTAAAATTACAAAACATAACGTGCTCTCTACGCGTCAGCGTGATAAACAGTCTACAAGAGTCAATATCAAAAAGCCGATTTGAAATTGTGGACAAGATTCTATATAAATATAGTCGGTATGTAATTGCTTACGGACGAACTGAATAGTACGGAGAAGTGTACAAATGATTACAATTTGATTTTTTTCTCAAACACAGGTTAAAGTAACAAACGTTAGGAGTAATAAAAGATTCACCAATCATAAAATGACTAATGCATCGATCAATCAGTAACACCCCAGAGAGGGCCAGGGAATAGCAAGGGTTATGAGCCAAATATATAGCTTTCATCTTTCACTGCACTACCGGGTCAATGCATGCTGTTAGATAGGCGTTTCAAACGCAAAACCGTGATTTAAAGATATAATGTAAAATATCTAACTGTCCCTGGACGTTGGTATTTCAATAATGAGTTAGAAATTCAAAAGTAAAGGTACTTGGTCTTTCTTTGGGGTGACGTGTTGGCAATGGTAACAACACACTAAATAGATCATATGAGCCGCGTCACGACAAAACCAACATAGTGGGTTTGCGATCAGCTTGGATCCAGACCAGCCTGCGCATCCACGCAGTCTGATCAGGATCCATGCTGTTCGCTTACAAACCCTATAAAAAGTAGATGAACTGATAGCAAGAGCATGAATCCTGATCAGACTGTTGGTTGTTTTGTCATGACACGGCTCATATATAATATTTTTACCCTTTGTTTCCATGTGACAAAACTTTATTTAAGACAAAGGCTGTCTTTTGGCTCCGACATCTTAAATTTGACAAGTCTGCCATTATATTTTCGTCCACGATATTCTTCTTCTTCAATAGGTGTAGAAAGTCCTTTGTAATTTCAAGTTCTTCTGTTAGGAAGTCCAGAAGTTGCGATTTTCCCTTCATCTTCTTATCTATATTAATGTTTAGGATAACGTCTTATTTGTTTAATAACAGCTCCATGTGTATTAATTTGCTAATTGTTCTAATACAAATACTGTCAATAGAATTACAAGGTCAACTCGTAAAGAATTTGCATAATTGATGCATGAATATATAACTGACATTTTGCCATTCTTACGATTTACAGGCAAAGAATTCATTTTTTTTCAAGATTATCATAATACCATAACGATAAAGCAAAATAAAATCTTATTATTTAGCTTACCAATATGTTCCTGTTCATTTTCCAAGTGCATAACAAGCTTTTGGGTGTCTGTAATGTGAATATTTAGTTTTTACAGAAAGTATAAAATGTGTACACCTTTTCTTACAAAAAAATATCAATACCGCCAAAAAAAAAAAAAAAAAAAAAAAAACAAAAAAAACACTGCTGCTGCTGATACTACTGCTGCTGCTGCTGCTACTACTAATTCTACTACTACTACTACTACTACTACAATGATAATAATTATTATAATAAGAATAAAATTCATTTTACTCTTTTAATTTGTAATTTAATAATGTAAACCATGTTGTTTCATATCATTGAATGCTTGTAATGACTGAAATATAATTTCATTTAAATCAATTATTTGTTTAAATTCTATCCTACTAATTTTATTACCTTGTTTGTTTGCAGTAGGAATGGAATAGATTGTAAATGCCAATCTGTATTCACCAGCTTCTAAAACACGCCCGACTGCCTTGCCAACAAACAGTTGTGGAATGAAATTCTTAATTTTCCCTGACCGGCAATTCTGTTCGAGTTTTTGAAATGATGAAGGTCCAGTTGGACGCGCCATTATTACAATAGAACCATATTTTATCTTATCAATTTGTATTCCTACAAAAACATGAGAATATAATACTAAAGGAGTAGTAATTATATTGGAAAACAATAAAAAGTTTAATTATATATTTAATTATTTCATTATTTTATGGACAGTATTATCAGTATTTGAATAGCAAGTTTGTTAAGCAAATTAATATACCAATATCCATCAATGAATCTGTTTCGCTCATTGTCGACTCTTGACCGCTATAACTATCTGAGCCGCTGTCGTAAGCTTCATCAGAAAACCCCGATGCATGTCCATAGTCTTTGTAAGTTTCACGAGTGGGTATAGATGCTAAGAAAAAAAATGACTGTTTTCAAAATATATATGATATCACTATAAAAGACCTGAACAAACATCTCACAAAAAACTTTATACTTTGTTCATTACGTCGTATATATTTTATAACATGGAATTAATAAATTTAATGTCATGTTGGTTGAAATGCTTTTTTTATCTAACAAATCAGATTTTTAAGTTAGATGTCGAAATACAAGCATTAAGAAAAATGTACCTTTCTTGGAAAGTATCTCTTGATTTCTTTCCCTGACAACATACCGCTGCAACTTTGCGCTCAATGCTTTCCCTTTAGATTTTTGATCTAAAATCATCACTTAAATTTTAACAAATTGTTTCAAGCAAATGCGTATGGGAATAATTAGTAGTAAATCCAATGATAAAGCGATACAATCTTCGATATACTGTTTTGGTATAAAGTCAAACAAGAACACGCAGAATCAGCAAATTTAATTAACAAAGGAAAATTATTTGTTTGTAACACGTTTCACTTTTCTCAGTGCTGGATACTATGATAAAAGCAAAGTAGAAAAGGGGACACATGTTTGCTTCAGAGCATTGAAGAATTACCTGCCTTTAAAAGTAAACAAGTATTCTAGGTTTGAAGTGAACATCTTTCAATACGTTATGAGAAATAAACTTAAACAGAGCAAATAAATGTTAGTCAAAAAGGGGCATTACTATGAACACAATTATTTCAGGTTCATCTTCTTTTGTGATATTGCGTCAAACCATGATTATGAACAAGCAGAAAATGAACCTTAACTAAAGTGATAACAGACACCGATGCCAATTCCAACGAGTTATGGCAATAGCTCAACATTTTTATTTGAAAACAACAAAGCTTAATATATGCGTAAATATGATGATCCTGCCATATAGAAAGAGTAAGCTTAAATACTACTGATTTATCAGTTGTTATGATAAGGTATGAGGATTATTACCAGTACAATGCTGCATTCGTTGAAGTTTTTCAGTGACGTTATTCTTTTCTAATTCCTCAAGAATCTCCAAAAACGTAGGCAAGACACATTTGGAACAGGTTTCTAAGAATTTTATCAATTTCTGCAATCTTTGTGATCTTTTGAATGAACATCTGACAACATCTGTATGCATCTGAGAGCTAAATATTTGATTGGAGAGCAGTTTGTCGTTTATCTTGTCTATTAAATTTCTTTCATTAAGTTCTCCCATGAGAATGTCATATTCTAAATTTTTAAATTTCAGTTTTTCTTTGCCGGCATTCATACCTAAGTGCAATAAATAAAGTTGAATATGATTACAAAGATCAACAAGAGCACCGCTTGGCGGAGCATTATATGCCCGAAAGTGGTTTTTAGTAAGGATGAAGCATTTGTAAGACATGGGAATAAATACAGTATTACCTCTTTCAAAAAGCAACCCTCCTTTATAGCTGAAGAACCTTCATATATATATACAATTGCTGTTTTCAAAGCACCACCCTCAAGTTATTATCTTGTAAGTAAAAATGTTTCGACGGATGAACGGAAAGACTTCGGGGGTATAAAGCTGTTAATAATATAAAGTGTTACAGCTGTAGGTTGATTAATACTTAAGTTATTGAGTGGAAACTGATTTCAGTTTTAGGGTGAAAGTGACCTTGTCCTTTGACTTTGTGACCTCAAAATCTATCGGGGTCTTCTACCGAATATGAATAATCATCTTATGAAGTTTGAAGACTGTGGGCCAAATGAAACTTAAGTTATGCTCCGGAAATCATTTTCAGTTTTAGGGTGATAATGAACTTGACCTTTGACCTTGTGACCCCAAAATCAATATAGGTCTTCTACCAAATATAGCCCATCATCATATGATGTTTGAATACTGTTGGCCAAATGGAACTTAAGTTATGCTCCGGAAACCATTTTAAGTTTTATGGTAATAGTAACCTTGACCTTTGGTTCTGTGACTCCAAAATCCATAGGGGTATTCTACCCAATATGGACAATCATCCTATGCAGTTGGAATACTGTGGGCCAAATGGAACTTATGTTATGCTCCAGAAACCAAATTGCTAACGGACGGACGGACAGACGGACGCCAGGGGGTATAACATAACATGTCCGAAATTCTTTCGGGCATATAAAAAGGGATTGCGACGATCACGGAGCACAGTCCCTGACAATAACTTGTCCCCATCCCCTTGCTGCAGGTATTGACCGTATCACTTAGGCAACAATGTAATGAGATTTACTTATTGACATTAAAAGTTGATCAATTTGTTCAATGCATCTAGATTTCAATAACATATGATATTCCCTATAACGATTTTGTTTCCTTTTTCAGTTCAATAACAGGGTCTGAAATTATTGAATAATATGAGAAATGGTATAAGTCTAGGTAAAGAAGAATAACTAAACCAATCCTTTTTACAAAGATTACACATTTTGCACAATTTCTCGATAGGAAATCAGATTCATGAAAAGCATAAGTAAAGACGGCCTAGCTTACCTTGATCGAATACAAAATCGCTTAAAAAATATTGCATTTATATTGATTTTATAGTTCATCTATTATTCTGCCCATGTGACTATATGAAAACTGTAGAAAACGACATAAAGTGAAACGTAGTATAAATGTTTGCTGTGTTTAAATAATAGATATTTCACAACTTAACCATATTTTTTTTCTGCGAAATATTTATAAAATAATAATGCTTCTATCATACCTTCACTTACATCTTGAATTGTTTCTGACTGAAGTTTCTCGGACGCGCGTGACAAATTGAACATATTTAAGGCAGTTTTGAACTCCAGATACATTTCATATGTGCCATTCAAAACCTAAAACAAACCAACAACAAAACAATATTATATATAATAAATATAATTAGCCTACGAATTTCACAAATTTACTCCCTGGGTTTGAAAATATGAGCCTAGATATTTTTTGAAATTGTTATCATCAAAGTATACTGATATGGTATATGAAATACACGTTTTGTTGTTTCATTAAATTATTCAGCATGTTTACAGATTTATCAACTATTCTTTTGTTTGCCTATTTGAACAACAAGTAAGAAGTTAAAAACGGACTACCTAAATAACGCCCAAAATATTGCAAAATTCAAAATGTTGCCGGCTCAATTTGATTGAGCATGCTTTTATCCAACGTTCACTAAGATTTAAGGATAAGGATCATGTTTAAAAACACAAATATACAATCTTTATCCTCAAAGATTAAATATGAAATGCAAATTTGCTTACATTGAACTTTAAATTACATGTCCATGAAATTTATGAATTGATAAATTGTTTTTTTTTTAAGATATCAGCATTTGACAGTTGATCCAAACATTGATCTTGATCCTTAAATGATCCTCATTTGGATTTGATAATGTTTGTAGTTGTTGCGATATTCGTAGATTTTATCCCAAAACAGAAATCTTTCCTTGCAAAGCAGCAATATTTAATATTATGATTATGTGCCATTAAATTCTAGCAGAATGTAATCAATATAGTTTATAAAACAACTAACATAATATCAGGACCATTTGATAATGATCCTGATCTTTTCTTATTAACACGAGGTCTCGTAGAGGATATCCCATACTACAGTCCCCGCCCCCTACTGGCAATCAGATTATGCACTGTAACAGATGAAATAGGTGTAACAACAGTTTGGTCCTTACAAGTTTCAATAATTTTTCATCGGCTTTTCTCCGTCTAGAAGATTCTTTAATATCCTGTACATCACCCTCTGTTGCTAGGTTCTTACTATACAAATATTCTGCTATTTCAATTGCTTCAACTTTTGATATTTCATTTTTCATAAACGAGTATTGTTTAATCATACGAAATTGCCAGGTTTCTGCCTCTGCTCTGCAATTGATTCAACATAGCCATTTATATCCATTCAACGCATCCATTTATATCCATTATATCAACATTTCTAAAATCAACTACATCAAGTATTTATAAACTCACCCTATCTAAAACTTTCAAAAAATATTACTAATTAAAAATTACTTTCTTTAACAATATGAATAACTTATTATCTATATAAAAAGCCCAGACTTTACAAAGTCGTTGCCACTTGCACGAGTATCCTGTTGGCAAACACGTTATTGTGAGGAAAGTTATGTTGATAAATAAACGCTTCGGCTCATTACCTTTTTTAATTCTCAAATATGTTTGGTTTTGAAGAATTCAAAGAGCATTTAATTAACTTAATTTATATATACCACTTAATTCATTCATTTATTGTAAAACGTAGACAAAAGAAACATTTTACATGTCACTGAAAAGCTAGGTAAGACTCATTTGCTTAAGTATTTTCTAAATGTAAATGTTTATTCATATACTGAAGCATTGAAAATATGTACAAACCTTTTGCAAATACCATCAGTCAGATTTATAGTCGTACGCAAAATTGACTGTTGAGCATTTATTCTTGGACACTTGTAGTATGTTGATAAGGAACCTGAAAATGAAATATAAAAACAAATATCAACAAGGGAGAGAAGCGTTCACAAAACATAACAATATCGAGTCGTAAAGGGCAAGCAACCAGTGAGACAACATTAGACTTTAGATATTTCAAACAATTATGCAGATCTTTTGAATTATTAAAGAACTCGTTGGTGAATTTATTAATTGCTTACCATTCTGAACAACATCTCTCACTACATTGACCAAACCATTGTAATCATGTCGCATTGCTTCTATCACTTCCGGAATAATTGTACTGTTTTCATCTCTGAGTATAGTGGTCATAAACATCGATGACCTCTTTCTTCTATTTTGTTCTCTTTGCAATACATCAAAAGAAATCCGGTCAAGTAATGATTGAGTCAGATATTTTGCCAACAGCAATGGATCTAGGTCATCTTGGATTACATCGTTCAATCCAAATAATACACGTCTGAACTCTATAATAAGTACACATTATGATGTATGAACAAAAGAATAAACTGAATCAAACAGATATGGTAAGGTATTTCGATCATTTTATGAAACAATTTTATCAAGTTAAAGTAAATTATCTTTTATAATCGAAGTTGTTCCAACTTGACAATTGTTAACTCAATCAAATGTTAGTACTGGATAAAAAAACAAGGACCTCAAATTTGTTTATAAATATAAGAAAAATTAGAAGAAAAGATATTTATTTTTTCAGAAACAATTCTGTTATATTTAAATGGCATATAGCTATAAATCTACTGAAATATTTCGTTAAAATTCAAATGTGATAAAATCATGCTGCATTAATTTTGTTCTTGAGAGAGCTATAACATGGAATGTCTTTGTTATCAAATAAACATGAACACGGGGCGTAAACAGAATTATATGTTCCGGAACAGTTATAATTATTCTTTTCCAAAATAAAAACAAAACTTTATTGATGGCACACAGGGAGAGATTTAGCTTAATATGCCTTAACCTGTGACAACTTCTTTGTTAGTGTTTATTTGCGTCGTCAAAATGTCCGCCAGATAGCTGTAATACCGCTGCAACTCTTCTTGAAACCACGACATATCTTGTTCTGTGGACAAAAACTCAATCAATGCCGTATTCCGATTTTGTCTAGATTCTAATGACATGATTTCCTTTATTAAAAGCTTTGCTCGTTTGCCCACATGTGTTGAAAGTGCAGTTACAAAACATTTTGCTTCAATCTCCTCTTCTAGATATTTGGCGTTCCTTTTTACAACATCTGTTGTGATATCCCGTTTTAGTTCAACGACAAACCCTACATCAGAATAACATTTTCTTATTCTAATTCTTGTGTCATTTTGTCTTCCAATTTTTGGGTTTGTATTTAATTTTTCCTATCTCTATCATACATGCATGATAACTATGATAAACAACTTTTTTGTTAAGACTATATAGATAAATAGTTTTTATCACAGCCCCATGGTTATATTAACTGAACATAAAAACTAGGAAATAGCTACCAAATTAAAAAGAATACTTTAATTAGGTAATATACGTTTAGTGTACAGAACATGTTGATAATTGTATTTGAATTAATTTATTTAAGGCGACTATATCCATTGCACACTTATTAACTAAGTTGCATATTTACCCTCATGAATTTCTCCTTTAAAGAGTTGTTGTACGATGTCTTGTCCCTTCATATCGGTAAGAACTTTTTGAAGAAAACAAAAACAAATTTGAGGCACATCATCTTGCTTTAGAAATTCAATTATCTCCGAGGGAATGTCTGTGGTCTTGCTTGATCTTTTTATATAAACTATGGCATTTGTCATCTTTGAAGTAAGTGATTTACTTCCTATCAAAGTGTCAATAAATGGAATCTCGAATCCGCTGCATTTTTCCGTTATATAGCTCATATTCTCTTTGAAGGTCTCTTTGTTTAGGTAACAAAGGCATGCTGAATGACATATGATATGAAATGGTTTAATAATAAAATTATTCATTGACCGTGGAATAAGGGTTTTAAAATATTTGAAAAAAAAAACAAGTGACCTTTCATTAGAAATGAAATTACTTCTTAAAGATTTGCGATAAGCAAAAAATAATGATACTTAATTAAGCATTTTTATTTGATTTTAATTTCTCTTATTTTTTGCACAAATGGACAAATGGATGCTTATACACATTTTTGAAAAACAAGGTTTGAAAGTCAAAAGCATTAGATAAAAGAATTATTCAAACCAACATTTTCGATAAAACAATCCTTAACAATCCTGAAACGGCAATATTATTAATTTTATAAGCTCATTCTTTAAGCTTGTTTATATACGTAAGTGGTAAATACAGTTTTTCAACAAGCTCCCTTGCATTTTGCACCTGCTTAAATATTTAAAAAGGAAAACAGTGATATTTTGAATTAGGAAAATCCACATGTGTTCATACGGCGTTTTCATTAAACCTTAAATGTGCAATTTTATAAAAAAGGGAATGACCCTTTCTAAAAATTTATGTGACTTAAATGGGCAAACTGATGGGTGTGCTTAAATAAAATGGACTCTTTTTGAAAATGGATCAGAGGAAGTGTAGCCTGAATTTAAAACAAAAAAATGTAAAAAGTAGGTAGCATGTTCAAAGGGTGACATAACAGTATTCACATAGTCTTGACTATTTACTTTTGTTTGATTTTAAGTCACACTGTCAACGTAAAAGTTATACGGCGCTCGTTGAGTAAGACCCTACTTGCCCTTCATACATTTTTCTGGCATAAGCGGGCACCTTATGTCCTGATATTTGGACCTAAATCATCTAGTGAGGTATAGAAACAGTTACCTTGTATCTTGAAACCATTGTACAATGAAACATGAGCAACGATTTGCCCGAGATGGATCAATTTGTTGATAGCCCCCTTATCAATCATCGCAACTAAGAGGGATTCCAACTGACCATCCTCACAAAACTTTCTTATAGTTTTTACATCATTTGGACCGCACTCGACAAAATGAATGTTCAAAGAAGTTTTGGAGAATCCTTCAAATAATTTCCTTAATCTTCTAGTTTCTGCATCAATTTCTTCTAAACTCAAATTTGCCAAATTGTTCCAGATGTCTTCATTTAAAAATGTTTCGTGTCTTTGCGTTTCTTGTGGGACTCGAACTGTTACTACCGGTGTTGAAGTGGTCTCATTATCAGTCTCTGAAAAATTGTGGATTAATCTCACTCAATTTGGAGCAGTACCTCCCGACGCATGCAGAAATCATGATTGTAAAATAGCAAAAATATTCCCTTTTACGCCGATTTTTTCATTTTTGATTTATTATTGTATTTAAATCGATATGAAGAGATAAATCTTAAAGTACATTTAGGTGAACGAAAAGGCGAGATTTTAGCATTTTTAATTCATGCGCCTTTTCCTGTATATACTGGAATACGGCATTTAGTCTAACATTTTTTAGTCTAACTATAGATTATATGAGCCGCGTCACGACAAAACCAACGTAATGCGTTTGCGACCAGCATGGATCCAGGCCAGCCTGCGCATCTGCGCAGTCTGATCAGGATCCGTGCTGTTCGCTATCAGTTTCTCTATTTGTAATAGAGTTTGTAAGCAGGCTGGTCTGGATCCATGCTGGTCGTAAACGCATTACGATGGTTTTGTCGTGACGCGGCTCATATGGACAATGATAGCTAGAACATAAATCGATATTTTTGTCGCTTTCTATGATCCACGAATTAACGTAGGCAATGTCGTACACATATTTCATATAACACTTTCAAATAAGTTGGACACTAAAATTCTCATTAACATGTCTTCGAGTATATCGAATCCGACCAAACGTTTCATAAAATGAGGAAAACTTCATTGACTGCTTTTAAATTATTGAGTAGAACAATTTAAAATCAAATATTCATAAGCAAAACATATTAAGGTAGTGTACAATTAGTATATACAATGTTTATAATCAAATTTACCTTCAAGCAAGTGGTCGTATAAAGGTTTCAAGATTCTCCACTTGTCTCTAGTCTCTAATCTGTTTATCGCCTCGAACAATATATTTACACGCTCTTGTCTAGTTTCCGCTTTAGAAATATTGTAATTGTCCTTGAATTGAACTCCCTCGAACTCTACCGCTGTAGCTATTATATCTATTGGTTCTAAGCTTTGCTTGATATACCAAGTTTGTTGAGAAAATCTTTCCACTAGATTTTCACTAGAATCTGGAATATTCAAAAGATTTTTTTGTAAAAGGGTTTAATGATACATTGTATAAGAATCTAAATTGATTTATTATTATAATTATTTATATATTATATTATATTTATATTATATTTTATTTATTATTATGATTTTTAGTTGTTTACAAAACGATTTACAAAATCTATTAATACGCACGAAACAATTGACTATTGTATGAATGAATATGATACTTGTATGGTGATATCATCACTTTAAAAGGTTTGTTTTGTTTGCAGATGATTTATTAAATTAAACATATTTACCAAATGTTTCAGAAGACGGAGACGAACAAGGTTGTTTCAATTTATCAGCAAGTGGACGGTTTGTTTCGGATTTTCCAAGATTTTGAAAAAAAATTCCTATTAATTCACGGTCTGTCTCCAATTCAGACAACAGTTTATCAATCTTTAATCGTCTCCTTTTTTCAATAAAAAGTAATGATGAGATCTGGCTATTTTCAGTCATCAGATCCTCGATACAGAGTTCACGATGTATTATTTTGAAATTCTTGTGTAAAGCTGACAGGCCTAGTTCAAGCTGAATAAAATACAGCAATAATTTCATTATTTCTAGAAAATAACGGTGTAGTTATCACTTTTCTTCAATTCTGCTATTTTCAATACCATATCAGCAAATAACATCTTCAAAAGTTATGCTTACTTTACGAGTTCACATAAAGTAATGACGTACACGCCCCTGTTTGCCATTCTGATAATAGTTTACACGCATTTCGAAGCTTCGATACTGCCTTTATTTCAGTTGATATCATACAGTAGAAATAAAAAAACAATAGAAAACAAGAAACCTTCATGTACTCATTGCAAAACACTAAATATACTTATGTACACACAAGGAAGACATGATAGGTACAATAAAGGGTGGAAGAAACAAAAAACAAAAAATCAGGTGATCGGAAGAAAGCCTTTACAAATTCTTAAAGAAAAGGCAATCAAAGGTGGCTCTTGAAGAAGTATTCAAGATAGGAAAAGAACTAAATGTACCAAAAAAACCTGAAATATATTTTTAGTTTTAAAAAGTGCACAGCTAGAAACATTTCTATAACAACAAGTTTGAAGATATCAAACATTGGCAACACATGTGTAGGTGTTTTGTACTTACATTTATCTGTGTTTCTGTCTTTTCTGTCAGTCGATGAATGTTATGTTATACAAATAAAGATTAGTTCATATTGATTTTAAAATTGTGGTTGACCTTCATGGCGCCTTTGTAGTCCTATATGACTAGACTTTATTCTTCCATGACATTTACTTCAGCAATAAAGTTACATACACGATGCACGAAGTTTATTGGTATCACTCAACTTATAAACAACATAATTTGGAAAAAAAAATATTTGACTATCTTTCAAAGTTTTATGAATATCATTCAGACGTTGCCATAGATTATTTGAAGTTGTTTCCTTTTTGTATTTTCTGATCGAAGATCAGTAAATACAAAGCGGACATTCAATTTCTGACACAGAAGTTTCACGACAAACCTAACAACAAGTAGTTCTCAAAACAGCTTAAAACTAGCGATTTAAAATAAAGAAATATTTTTATTTTGTTACAAGTATCCAACAAATTACAACGCATTTAAAGTTTAAAAGTAGCGTTGGCTTATAGAATTCTCAATTAATGCACAATCACAAATTACGCGGATGAATATGATTTTAATCAATGAAAATGCTATTTTTAGCGATGTCGATTACCGGATACTACACAAATAAATCTGACTGCCGAGTAGTGGAATATATTGATTCTTGATGTCGGACTGTTTGGGCGAGAAGATTTTCGCTAAACTTTTTATTTCAATTGTAAACAACAGGTTTATCCTTAACAAAATATCTCGAAACTAATAAGATTTCAAACCCGAAATGCCATGGAAGGTCTAAATTTAGAATGACTTGATTTTATTCAGGCATTGTTTGTATAACTTCTCCGTGGTGCAGGGGTAACGCGCTCGTTTCGTGTGTGAGACATCTGGAGTTCAAATCCCAGTAGAGGCAACTTTTTTTTTTAAATTCTTTTTTAAGTGTCTTTGTTAAAGAAGTAGCCATGATATGCAAGGATAAAGTGTGGCTGTCATAAAAATGAACATAAATGATTTTTTGATGCAACTCTAGTTATGTAAAATTCCGTATGTATAAACTAATACAGGAAAATACATACAGATATACAGTACAATTTAGATTACAAAGGTCAGAAAATACCACAGAGCTTGCAGTCCTTTGATTATAAGTATAGCTGCGCATCGTCCTTTCCTTTCCACATACATGTATCGCAAGTACAACTATACATAAATATCAGTGAAACACATGCATTAAAGGCGAGCGGAGGCCTTGTGGTCTGCCTGTCAATGCAGGAATCATGGATTCGAGCTCTACTTGGGTCATGACTATGTTTTCTTATAATTCACTAGTACACAGTATAGTAAGTTAGAGGGAGTGGACTCGAAAGTGATTTAAATAAGTTTCCAGAACTTGTTATGCATTCGGGCTAAAATTAACTTGTTTAAACTATTGAAACTTTCTCGTTCAAAATGGGGACACAAATCTTACAAGAATATTATCTGAAGGAACAGTTTTTGCAAAGAAGAAAATGCCGAGTATTTGAAATTACAAGCTTGACTTCTAAATTCAAAATTTTACTAATTCATGTTTAAATGTTGAATTCTGCTTAAGCCGGTGCTAGGGGGCGTGGACGGTAACTTGCACTTTCCAGTACCGTCCATGAACAGGCTCAATCAAACCGAGCCTGCAACATTTTCAATTTTGCCGTGTTGGGCTTTCTTTAGGGATTCTGTATTTATCTATTTATTGAACAAAAAAAACAACAAATAATAAATAAATTCTTTACCTTTTCGGGACCTTTTGTTGTTTCCATGTACGTGCTCATTCTCAGGTGATAGTGACCGTCTTTTCCTTCTTGAACCTTGTGTCGAAGCCATTCCATCTGAAAAAAGAAGCCAAAACACAAACAACATAACGCCTTTTCCTTTTTTAATAAAAATGTTCATCTTCACATTCTAAAAATGTTCTTGGATTAGTATTTTTTGCATCAAAAAGATAAATCATGACATAATTATCTTTGATTTGTATTTGAAAGAAACATGCGAAAAATAAAACCTATTCGTCATAAACATACTGGGACGAAATATTCTGCATTTGCCTGAAGATAAGTAAAAACATATAGGGCACATTCAGTGAAAATACGTTTCAAATAAAAAGGCATACATTTGTGATACAATTAAAACCCTTTGAGTTTCTCGTCAATCATACCTAAAATTTGAAAAAGTGGCGACCTTACTTTTAAGTTGATCTTCAAAGGTTCTATTGCCCCTTGTTTGCAAGTTTGGTCGCAATTTCTTTTTACCGTTGCTTTCAGAATCTTCCATGGTATCGTTGTCTATAACATACACATATTTTTGTTTGCTTCGATTTTACACCGATACAAATCATCAAAAAAAATTTAGTCTCGCCTGAAGATAGAACTAGCAAACTTTGGAATTCTCCTTATTGAGCTAAACGTGTTGTAGTTTCTAGAAAATTATTTACATTATTTTCATTTTACATATACATGTGTATATTTAAAGTGCAACTCCTGTAAAGTATAGAAAGAAAACAATGGTATTATAACTGATTGGTACAAATATAAAGTTTACTTGGCTTGAGAGATATTTCAGAATTCAAATTGAATTTGTAAGGACTTATATGTAGAAATACATGTATATAGGCTTTTGTGGAGGCAATTGAATTAAGTATTGTAAATGCATACAAAGAATACAAATAGAAAAACATGACCCTGTCTCAATGCTTCTTCTTTAAAACATCAAAAAGCAAAATGTAATTACATAATGAAATTTTAAAGAATCACAAGAAAAAAAAGTCATTTTTAAGAAATAACCTTTTCATCACCATTGTTTTTTCATCATTGCTTATTAATGAAAATAAACAAAAACTAAAGAAAAACGTTAAAACATTTATTGTTAAGCCTTCTAATATTATATCTATGGAGATTTTACATGGATGAAAATTATAAATAATCAGAAAACCCAACGTTACAGTTTTTGACTTCAGTTTCACTAAATCTCCTCTTCCGTCTTGTCACATCTGGCTCGTTTGTTACACGATGTTTATCTGTTGTAAACATTTAGAGTTTCATTGTTTCCAATAAATCGTAATACACATTATTTTGCTAGACAATTACAGATGATCCCCCTACCGTCTCCCAAACCCCGAATAACAACAACAACATATTATCTTAAATACTTTATTTAAAGAATAGTATTCGGAGGAAAACAATCTTAATCGCTATAAATACCATTGTCATTTGGATTTGACATATTGTATATTTATCTGATCAACCTTATTTACTGTTCTGACAATTACTATATTTCACTTGTATATTTCTATCGCGATGATCTACATTTATTCTAATAATAAAATATATCGCAGTTGATGACATCTTATAACTTCCCTTGTAAGATTTTAGAAATAATAATGATATTATAGTTTTTATAGACCAGGACTAAGCGTTATTGATCCAAATGACCTTATTTTACTTTCAAAATAAAATGAAGCTACACTTTAGATAAAATAATATGACCGTGTCGAAAACTACAACATGTAACTTAAGCTACATTTGTCATATTTTGTCTGTTACAAAAAGATTAGAAATAATATTAATGTATAATTTCATAATATTTAACCTTTCTGTTAAACACGTGGTCATAGCGACTTCACAAATAGGTCTTTATATGTAATTCAGATGATTCTACTGTTCGTTAAACAAACTGTATAATGTTGGCATTACGGGTGAACATTCATGCCGAAAATTAAATGCTGCCTGCTTCCCGATTATCAGAAATATTTCAAGAAAGTTGATTTTTATACAAGTTCTCAGATTACAGAAAAGTAAAAATATTCAAAATTCAGAAATAAACTACATGTTATGTGAGGTTAATATTTTTATTGCGTGATATAGGCAGTAAAGGCAATTTTTACATATTTTTTTACATATTTTTGGTTATGTGGATTGTAAGTGCCGTTTTCAATGTGTAAATAACGCTTTTGCTCACTTTAAAATATTTTTTTTGCCTTACAGAAATATAAAATGAAAGAGCAATCCGCTTAATTCTACAAATATGTAATACATGCTTACATTTACTTGTTGTCGTCTTTCTTGTGCTACTGTTCTTTTTCACCCTTTTAGTACCAACAGTGGCATCGCAGTTTTGTTGACAATCTTGGTTTCCATTGTTACTTGAAGTTGACGCGGACTCCGTGTTACATGTAGCATCATTTAAATGTTGGGTCCCACTATCTTCAAAATCATCCTTAGACATTTTATGTCTAACTCCTATTTATCTAAATCTATTAAAGCTTTATACTTTGCTACGTAGGCTATTTTTGTGTGTGCTAATGTCTTTCGGATATTTAGTATTGAGAGCTGAATTCCTATCTCACTTACACTAATCAAAATTACACGATACAAGTATTGCATTGAATAGACTCTTTTCATGCCCAAATGGTGAATGAAAACTTCTTTTATATTCTTTAGATTTCATTTGAAAGTAAATACAATTAATGTTTCGCTTGAAGCAAAGATATCAAAGGCTTTGTTTTAAATCGCTTAGTATTTACCTTAACAATTCACATTTTAATCTGGTGTAAATGCCAGTTGAAATAGTTCATTTCCTAATTTCACCTTTATAATAGAACAAATATAAATGTACTTGATTGTATAAAATAATCATTGTTTAATATGATAATATAGGAATGATCATTTCAAGAAATATCTAGTATAAAATAGTGAAGGTTTTTGCGCTAAGCTTAAACATATGTTCAGGCATTCACTTGATTGAAATCTTTAGGCATTATGGCATTCAGACATTTTGAAGCTATTTATTAACATGTCTGTAAGGGTTAACGTCAATGCTCATTCATATAATACAAACTTTTTAAGTTGCAATGAAAACTAAACAAAGAAGCTTTCAGTGGTCACTTGCAGCACATTAATGTTTGTTGCATGCACATCATTACATGTGACGTTATATGGACGAAGTGATTTTAAACTTGGAGCAATTGATCTTCCACAAGACGTATACCCGGTTTAAAAAGCAGAAAGTATTAATCATTATATTGACCATCCTGCCACACCTATTATAGATTAATGATATTGTCAATTGACTTCCTTGAATCAAAGTTACAGCCAATAAGACATCGGTCCTATTCATTTTAGAGCCACAGTGTACTTGAAAGCAATCACGTTTATACTGATTTTGAAACTTTATTTTTGAAGAAAAATCTAAGACAAGTTTGAAGACGATTTTTTATTTCATTTTAAGACAGGACAATGATTATAAAACAGAAATTTGAAGGATTACCATATTACTTCATGCTCATTAACAAAAGTCATATACAACTACATATTTTATTGAAATGTTTTCAAACACTTTGCATACTTTCTAAAGCGTAATAAATAATAGTTTTCAATGAATTGAAATTGTGCTGACAAGCAAAAGGATTTAGAAAAATATACAATTAAGTTACGAATATGTGTAAATGATACCATAGTACAGTACATAATCAATTATAGATTTACCATGATAAGATTATTCTTTGATGTGTGTTTAGAAGGTCTAGTAAGCATGATTCCATTTATGAGCAAAAGCGTGAAAAATAATGGAAGGGGCATTTTAAATCAAAACAGTTGTTTTGCTGGTCATGAAACACTGTCTAATTTCTTCAATAGATTTATACTTGTGGTATTTTCTGTTTACAATGGAAGATCCTGCGAGGTTTGTTAACATACTTACCCATACCTTATCCGAGTGTTCTTATACTTGTAAGATCCATTTGGATCATTGATCTAAAAATTTAATCTTATGGAAGAATTTATACTGTTTAAGACGATGCTAGGGACATGTGAAACGATTCAACTTTCATTTTCCATATGAAAAGACTAAATGAAACGAAGTCAGCAATGTTCAACTTTTATTCTTATGTCTATTAATTTCGAGGTATTTCCCTTTTCCAGATTTTAACAACTGAAACAAATAAACTTAGGCTTGTTAGAGACACAACAAAAATTAAATGATTTATAGTTACAGTATGTCAACACGCACTTACACATTCCTCTACACTGTTAAAGTTAGTATTAAAATGTTTTAAATTGAAGTGCAATTTGAAAATACTATCGCAATGTTTTCATGAAAAATGTATTTCAATAATTTTAAGGGTTACATTTTATTCATAAGGAATAACTTAATAAACATGTTTTTTCTTGCATGAGTTTGCGCAGTGTGATAAGAGATAAAAGACAATAATTCAAAAATGCAAACAATCTTTTCTTAACATAAAATATATCTAAACGCTCAACAAATTGTACAATCTAAATAACTACCTATCCCAAACTTAACATGTTGAACCTGTAGAGAAATGTGGACTAACTTCATTTAGTGTTTATTAAATAAAAAAGAAAGAAAATGAGAGGGTATTACCTACTTAACTGTTTCAAGCAAGCATAGAAATATATGAAAACATACGGAAAGCAGACGAAATGATTGTAAAATGACGTTAAACACTCTTTAAAAACATTTGAGTACATATAATATTACATAATGATATAAAAGTAATTGTTATAACGATTTGTGTGCAAGCAATTAACAAAGACTGTTATATTCACTTGATGTTGGCTTTATGTCACACAGTTAATATAACCATTGTGATATATAAACATATATAAAGCTCACCAAAGTACCTGAATGTGTAAAATCAAATCAAAACTTAAGTTGAAATAACGTACTGAATAAAGTTCTTGAACAAAACAATCAAACAAACAAAAAATACACCATTTAGGGCTTTTATATTTTGCGTATCCCAATCCATTGTGGAAAAAAATGAACCAAACATAAAATCCAATATTTGATTTTTTTCTCTATGATTTTGATTCCTTCTTCCTTCGTCTTAACGACATCTTTCGTTCCTTTGATTCCCTTTTTCGTCTTTCTTTTTCTTCTGAAATAAAAAGACAATATAGTTACTGTATATTTCAGTACATTATAAATGTAAAAGAAAACGCAGTAAATAGTAAAATAAATGAACATATCCTTGTTAGAGACGCAACAAAAATGAAATGATTTATAGACATGGTTATAACAATATGTCAACATGCTCTTACACATTCCTCTACATAGTTATAGTTGACTTTTAACTTTTTTGAAGATTTTAAATTCGTTTTTTCATTATTTTAACAGATATTCACCTTTGTCCTCGTCTTGTTTTATTTTCTTAGCTGAAAATATAATTAATGTTTGAATGAAATGAAAGAAATTATCAGCAATGAATACACTTTCTGTAAGATAGACATTACTGTACTATATATTTAGACATCCGTTTCCTTGTCTACAAAAGTATTTAGGTACATGATATGAGATATTGATGTATGTTAATAGAATACAGTGATCTTCAAAGTGGTAATCTGTAAAACAACAGACACTATTTTAGTATCGAATATAGCTATATAAAATAACCGTTTAATAGATGTGTTAGTGTTTCATTGTCTGTATTTGATAATAAAGTTTTAATGAAGAATTAATAATAACTTACGCATTATTGGACTCCCTAAATTGATACTCTTTTCTTTTCTCTTGTCATGACCACCGTCTTTGTCACCTACATTATGACAGAATGGAAATAGGAATCTTTTTGCAAGCACTTTCCGACATACCAAATTAAAAAAAAAACACTCATTGTAAAATTTATGAAATTGGATTTCATCATTTCTACATTATATTAAAATAAATAGAGGATATTCAAGTTTTTTCTATAAATACATGATTTATTTTCATCGAGTGGTATGATAATAAATATTTCATGAGTGGCGGTAGCCACGAGTGAAATATGGTAATTTTCATGCCACAAGATGAAAATAAGTCATGTATTTATAGAAACAACTTGAATTTTCTGTTTATTATAAACATTTTTACTTTTTTGACATTAAAATTTGAAAGACTTTCACTTAAATTTTGTGTACTGGCAGAATTTAAAAGAAAGTAGTCCGGCAAGACACCAGTGAAAATACGGAAAATATGTTTCACTGCAGTGAAAAATAAATTTTTACAGTGAAAATACGGAAAATGTTAATACGCATTTTATTTCATCAATATTTCTCAACATTTCATTTACAAGTATATAATAAAATGAATTATAAAAGAAAAAAATAACCATTTACATTAAGATAGATCAATGCCAATAACAATATAATTGTTCGTTCATTTCGAAAAAACAAGTTCTTTCAGTGCTTCCTGAGACTAACCTGTGCTTGTGTCTTATGAAGAAACATGGTCTAGCATCTACAATACCTGGCCAAACAATTTAGCCGCTAGGCCAATGGTTCACTCTGATATATACCGATAAGTGAAATCGATAGATGAAATCGATAGATGAAATGACTTTCTTAAAATACTGAATTGCACTTAACGTGACTAATTTTTCAATATTAAATGGAAGTGTAAAAATAATAGAATATTTTTTTTTATATTTATAAAAAGTATTCAAGTCAAACAAACATAATTTTATGCATATTTGTCAGTTTTATTCAAAATATGTAACGTTGTGAATATTTTAACATTATAAAGTATGTCGGTGCTGTGGCGAATACGATACACTATGGTGGCTGATTTACGCCATGTCGTATTTTCGCTTCTTCGACTCAAAAATACGAAAATGCGAAAACACGAAGGGACGACGTCGTCTCTTCGTGTTTTCGCATTTTTGAGGCAACAAAGCGAAAATACGACAGAAGGAGGGCAAAAATACGACACATAAAATCTGTCGTAAATTCGCATTCCATATGTCGTATTTTCGCTTTTTCGCCTTCAAGATACAAGATTGCAAAAACACAAAGAGACGACAAAGTATAAATTTGTCGTCTCTTCGCATTTTCCCTTTTTCGCATTGTTACATTTTCGCATTGTAACATTTTCGCTTTTTCGCATTGTTACATTTTCGCATTTTGCGTTCCGGTTGTGCATGCCCATGGAGACATCAATTTATTATTATCAATATTATTATTATTATCAAGTTTTGATATATTATTTCATAGTCCTATATAAGATACTTTGTATTCACGTAGATGTATAATTTAAAAGCATTACCCCGCTCCTTACACATGTGAAATAATCATATAATATAACGGTAAGGCTTTCAGACTGTTTTGAATCAGTTAATGCAACAATTATTATAATAAATACAGTTATTTGTTCCTACCATCTTTAGATTATCAGTTTATTTTGCTGACAGGTGTGACATGAGATTTATGATAAAGGAACTGCCCGCGCTCATCTTAAAATAGATATGTCTGTGATTGAGGTGTATTTTCACAGGAAAACATTTTATAATGTCTGTTAATTCTAGTACTAGTTTTGTAAGACATACTTTATTTGATTACGTAGAGAGCATGTCGGATTAAGTTTGAAAAAAAAAAGTTTGATGGTTTAATTTAATAATAAAAAAATAACGAAAACCACATTTGAAAACATTTGGTCGTCATAGTTCCCGATTATTCAGCCTTCTTCAGTGGCTTTTTTAATTTAAAATATATATATATAGTAATATTTAAATCATTTTTATTCATTCTTACATTATACCATGTTGTCAGACGTTCCTTAAGTCTTAAAAACAAAGATCTCGTGATGGTCATTCTGTCTTCCTAATATTGCACGAATATCAATAAAAGGAGAACAATGAAAATTCATAAAAATCAATAAATATGTTGTATTTTGATCATATTGTATTATACTGTGCTTCTCTTAGTTTACGGTACTTAACGCAGGGAAACAATAAACTAATGGTACATGTCATTAGCTGTAACGTTTAGGTATTTTCAGATTGATGTCTCCATGCGCATATGTAACCGAAATGCAAAAATGCGAAAATGTAACAATGCGAAACAAGAGGGCCATGATGGCCCTGAGGTCGCTCACCTGTATATAGGCCCCCCAACCCCCACCCCCCCAAACATTGCAGGGCCAATTTAACCAAAGGGCTTTTATTTGCACAAACTTGGTAGACACCCATAAGAAGATGTTTCATGCTAAACATCTAAGCTCTAGCTCATTGGGCTATTTAAAAGAAGATTTTTTTAAAGTTTTTACTATACACATATAGTTAAAAACAATGACACCCCTGGGGCCGGGCCAGTTATGACCCCAGGGTTTTTATTTGAACAAACTTTGTAGACACTTACTAGAATATGTTTCATGCTTAATATCTAAACTCTAGCTATTTGGGTTTTTTCAAAGAAGATTTTAAGTTTTTGCTATACACATATAAGGAAAATCAATGACCCCGGGGCGGGGCCAATTTTGACCCCAGGTCTTTTATTTGAACAAACTTTGTAGACACTCACTAAAAGATGTTTCATGCTTAATATCTTAACTCTAGCTATTTGGGTTTTTTCAAAAAAGATTTTTTAAGTTTTTGCTATACACATATAAGGAAAATCAATGACCCCGGGGCGGTGCCAATTTTGACCCCAGGGCTTTTATTTGAACAAACTTGGTAGACACCTATTAGAACATGTTTGATGCTAAATATCTTAACCATAGCTCTTTGAGTTCTTTAAAAGAAGATTTTTAAAGTTTTTACTATATGCATATATAGGGAAAATCAATGACCCCCCGGGGCGGGGTCAATTTTGACCCCAGGACTTTTCTTTGAACAAACTTGGTAGACACTTATTAGAACATGTTTCATGCTAAATATCTTAGCACTAACTCTTTTGGTTCTTTAAAAGAAGATTTTTTAAGTTGTTACTATATGCATATAGGGAAAATCAATGAACCCCTGGGGCGGGGCCAATTTTGACCCTAGGGCTTTTCTTTGAACAAACTTGGTAGACACTTATTAGAACATGTTTGATGCTCAATATCTTAGCCATAGCTCTTTGAGTTCTTTAAAAGAAGATTTTTTAAGTTTTTACTATATGCATATCGGGAAAATCAATGACACCCCGGGGCGGGGCCAATTTTGACCCCAGGGCTTTTATTTGAACAAACTTGGTAGACACTCACTAGAAAACGTTTCATGCCAAATATCTAAGCTCTTGCTCTTATGGTTTTTAAAAAAAAGATATTTAAAGTTTTTTTCTTTCGGTTGCCATGGCAACCAGAGTTCTGCATGGAATTAAATTCTTTGCACAATTTTTAAACGTGACCACCAAAGGAACATTCCTGTGAAGTTTGGATGAAATTGGCCTTGTGGTTTATGAGGAGATGTCATTTAAAGTAAAAGTTTACGGACGACGGACGACGGACGACGGACGAAAAGCGATCACAAAAGCTCACCCTGTCACTTTGTGACAGGTGAGCTAAAAATGAAAATGTAACAATGCCAAAAAGCGAAAATACGGCAGATGGAATTCGAATATACGAAAGATTATATGTATCGTATTTTCGCCCTCCTTCCGTCGTATTTCGCTTTGTTGCCTCGAAAATGACAAAACACGAGGAGACGACAAAGTCCAACTTTGTCGTCTCTTCGTGTTTTAGCTTTTTCGCATTTTCGAGGCAACAACGCGAAAATACGACATGGCGTAAATCAGCCACCATAATACACACTTCTTCTGTCATCAAAGAAACATTGTGAATCAGTAGTTCCCAAGCAGGTGATGCTCCTGTTTCCAGGATCCATCTTCCTCGCTGAATCTGAAAATCCAATGCAATTAATTGTTTTAATGACTTATAAAAAACACACCAACATTTGTGAATTGGCCGAATCAAATCCTCAGTGACTATAATTGGCCTTCATACATTCGTAAATCTAAAATGTAATATCTAAAAAAGAAGTAAACTATTTTAATTTGTATGGCCATAATATTTTTCTTCATATATAAATGAGTAAGTGTATGACGAATTCATCTAAGTAATTTGATAATTTTCCGACAGAAACACAAATGAGGTGGATGAACAGGCTGATGTAACTTTATGATTAAAATACTTAAAAGGGGTTAATAAAATTAAACTTAACGATCTAAATCCAACCTTCTGTTTCTATTCCAAATGTAGCAGTACATCGATATAACAGCATCTCAAAGTCTTTTCTCGGATCTTTTGCCATCACCCTACTTTTTTCTAGCCCGGAATGTATTTGGTTTAAGTTATTTTTCTCCATCAAAACCTTGTGCAGATAATCATTATTGCTTTTGATGTATGATTCCGTCAGTATAGTATACCTAGATAAATGAAATTCCCAACAGACATTTATGTGATTTTGTTTAAAAAAATATTGTATTGTATGAAGCGGCAAACAAAAAATATTGATTATATGGACTTCTTTATATATGTCAACGAAAGTCCATATTCCTAGACTGTAACTTAGCTGAAAATTGTAGAAATGTTAGAGCGCATAGATGTTTTCTTTTATTTCACATAAAGTAAATTTAAGTTAAACATGGAGAACATTAGCATACAAAATATATATTCATATTGATATTTATCATAAACACTATCTTAAACTTTCTTTGTGTCTGTATTCGCTGAGGTTCATTTTAAGGAATAAGAGAAATAAATGTGTTTGTCGAATGTATTACATAAAGTATTTACCCATCTTTATCATGTTTTAGAATGTTTTGCAATAGACAATGGACTTTCTGTTTTCTTCCAAGTTCTTTCTTTATTTCATCTTCAATGTTGATGTCAACAAGACATTCCTTTTTCAAAAATTTCAAAAGATCATCTGTTATGTCAAGTTCTTCTAACAAAACTTCAGTTACTGGATCATTGGGTGTATCTAAATGAGTAAATAAGTAAATAAATCATTAAATATAATTATCAACAAAGTTCTATTCTTATGTCTTAAAACAAGTCATTTAAGAGCGTTCCAGATTATTTTTGCTTTCAAAAGCCCCCAGATTGAACCAACTAAATTTCCATATTCTGACATGTTAACTTATCCTTGCTGAATAGGCCATTACAAAAAATATATATTGACTTGTCCACGGTGCATATCCATATCGGTACCCTCTTTGCGAAATCTGCTGAAACGGTACCCTATTTGCACATGCACAGGTCATTCTCTGCTAAAAACAAACCAGCGATGGATAACAATCCAGTAAAATTTCATTGTAATAAGGAAAGGAGGGATGACACTTAGAAAACATGTATACCACGGAACACTAGAATGTTTTATTTATGTGCTGATTTGTCATGTGCCCGTTTTTCATGTACTGCAACTTCACAATAAGCTACAAAAAATCGACATGTCTTGCCTCGTCCATCACCTCGACATACTTTTCGGGCTGCAATGAACCTGTGGCTTGATTATATATGCATTATACATATTTAATATGTTCATTTACATATCATCTTCGGACAAATGGCAGTATATTGTCAAAAATAAATGTAAAATTCATAAAAACACCCTACTTTCGGTTTTGCAGCGGCACGGGCTACCTCTCTTCATTTGAATTTTTATATCACAGGTACCCTCTCATTTTTTAACACATAGGTACCCTCAAGGCATGACATATGCTTTTATTTGCGTTAATGGTTAAGTATGTTATATTTCTTACTTTTATGTAGATATAACATACTTAACGATTAACGCAAATAAAAGCATATGTCATGCCTTGAGGGTACCTATATGTTAAAAAATGAGAGGGTACCTGTGATATAAAAATTCAAATGAAGAGAGGTAGCCCGTGCCGCTGCAAAACCGAAAGTAGGGTGTTTTTATGAATTGTACATTTATTTTTGACAATATACTGTCATTTGTCCGAAGATAATATGTAAATGAACATATTAAATATGTATGATGCATATATAATCAAGCCACAGGTTCATTGCAGCCCGAAAAGTATGTCGAGGTGATGGACGAGGCAAGACTTGTCGATTTTTTGAAGCTTATTGTGAAGTTGCAGTGCATGAAAAACGGGCACATGACAAATCAACACATAAATAAAACATTCTAGTGTTCCGTGGTATACATGTTTTCTAAGTGTCATCCCTCCTTTCCTTATTACAATGAAATTTTACTGGATTGCTATCCATCGCTGATTTGTTTTTAGCAGAGAATGACCTGTGCATGTGCAAATAGGGTACCGTTTCAGCAGATTTCGCAAAGAGGGTACCGATATGGATATACACCGTGTTGTCACTAGAAATAAAAGAAAACCTACAGAACCTTATTGTATATCTTGTATCAAGTATGATAAGCTCAAATATATTTTACTTTAGATCGATTATGTAGGAAAGTAGAAGCATAAATAACACACTCATCAGGTCCCTTTATAAATCAGCACTATTAAAGGGTATGCAGTTTTCTGCTCAAGGAACAAACTGTTTGTTCCAGAAGTGATTTGAACTCACGTTACGGCAATCCTTAAGATTATTTGTCAACTTCACCACGCCGTCATTGATGTATTTGTTTATTTGTCCTTGTTCATTTACATTGACACTCAACAAACTTCATAAATAATTTGACTGTGTTTTACAACAACTTACTTACGTAATTGTTTAAAAAAATACCCGAAAAGCAAACAAACGAATGTGCTCACATGATTTTAAAAGAGCGAAATAAAGACATACCTATTTTACTTGTTTCGGATGTTTCGTCATATGTTTCCAAAACCAAAATTCCATTTTTCTGATCTGAAATACACTTTCCATGTATTTTCCAGCTTATATAATTGATAACATGACTTAAATGATTCAAGGTTTTTTAAGACATATATCCTTTCAGTATCATTGTTTATATTTATACAAATTTCACAAGTTATTTGTAAAAACGAATATTACAGTCACCATAAAAAGTTTTTAAATTTACCTGATGTACTTTCTTTGGATTCATATATCGACAATTTCATGTTGAACTTTCCATCTTCAAGTTTCTCTGGTATACCTTCATGATTAAATATATCCTTCACTAGACGATCTATATTACCTCGCTTACAATACTGTTTTAACCTCTCCCATGCCAATGTGTCTTTTGCACTAAAGGTGACGATTATTGATCCATTTTCAAAATTCTCAATGCTAAGGCCTGAAAATGCATTCAACGCAAAATAATGAAATACGATTCTGATTTATTATATAATTAGAATTAATATTAGTTATTTGACAATTCATACCAAAATATTTTAGCATTTATGTCAGATGCAAAACAGAAAAAACAGAATTCCTTAAGAAAAACCCAAAACGACAAAATTGAAAATGTTGCAGTCTCGATTGGATTGAGCATGTTCATGGACGGTACTGGGAAGTGCAAGTTATCCCCGAGCCCCTAGCACCATGCAATATGTACACATGAACATTGAGAAATTTTGTGAATTTAAAAACAACCGAAAATTTGTTCACACAGCATTTATTATGGAACCATCAACGCGGCAAATTATTGTCCATTAAATTAGTCGTATGGCCCCCAAATAAAAAACCGAGTTTGTCCAGTGGGCGGAACTAAATAAAATGAAATTTTGAAAGCGGACAAAAGGTAATGAAGCCTGCATATTCAGACAAATGTCATGAGATAACTTTGTAAACAGGTATCATATCATAAGAATGATTATGCAGTATTAAAGGAAGAAATACTTGGGCCACCCAAAATGAAAATAGAAGGATCTAAAATTCAAAAAAATGTACACACAACAATAATGTCGTGCTGGAAAATATTCTTTATGTTTTGTCATATGTAAAATTTGCTATAATATTGCATTTCTACGTCATATTATCAACAAAGTGGACGACAATTGGAATAAAAAAGTCCCTTTCGTGCCATGCTGATTGTTTACGTCCTAACCCGGGTGCGTCATGTCAGGTTTTTGGGAGATTTTACTGCGTAAAACTTTCCGCTCATGACTTTCTCCATTCATATATATGTTTCATTTATGTGCACTTATGGAACATATTTATAAAAAGAAAACCTAGACTGATTCAGTCAGCGACAGCGGTGAGTCGGCGACAGTAGCTATTCTAGAAAAAAATGACTGGGCAGACATCCCAGAGATCCGTTGTTCGAATCCAGACTGAGGTGTGCTAATTTGTTATGTGATGTGTGTAATATCCCGCTCATGACTTTCACATATGCTTATTTATGGCCGGTCATGGCAAAGTACCGGTGTTTATCTGTTGTTGAAGTGTAAAAGTCTGTCACTAAAATGCCATTCTGAATCATCGTAATGATTACCCATGACGCCATTTCAGCGATTCAGAATATTGTTTTAGCTACTGACCTTTACACTTAACCAACAGATAAAAATCTATATTTGCACAAAGACTATTCTCAGCTAGAAACGACAAAAATGAATATCTTATGGTCTTGTCCCCCCTGTGCTAAGCGAATATATACTAATCTGCATATAAGTTACATAAAAAAAAACAGTAACGGAAGCGAGTCTATGAAAACCGTCACAAAGCGGAAGAAGGCACAGTACACCACGGCGAGCGTTATTCAATGACGTTACGTCACTTCCCTTGTTTCGCCTTAATATATATGACTTGTCCGATTCTTTCTGCGTAAAGACTAAAGAGAAATATATATATTGATTATTACTTTCTGTGTTAAGAGTAATAAAAATTAGGACCCGTTAATTTTAAAGAACTACAAGAACGAAAATGTCAATTCTATATTCGAAATTGTACTTTCAAACTCAACTTAACGTCGTTCTTTACATACTTTACATAAGATTTAAATGACAATACACAGTATAAACAGACTGTCCCTTTATTATTTCATCAATCATGGATGAATGCTTACTGAATCATATATTAAACAAATTGTTTAAGGTCAGTTTCTGAAAATATATATTACAACTTACCTATTTGTTCAAATTCAGTTTTAACTTTCTCATCCTTTCTGTTGTAACTTACAACAGCATATTCAACATTTTTATCTAGTTTCTTCTTCTTCACTATATGTCTACAGTCAATGTCGGACTCACTTCCTATAAAAGTCCAGATTATCATATATAAAGAAATATATTACAGCGTTTCAAAATTCCAATGAATAGATTTTTTGTGAAATGATGTTTTCAGAAACTGTGAAAACTTTCTAGAAATTTGGTAGTTTACATTAGTTTTACTTATGCTACTTATGTTCAGTTAGAAAACTATAAATAATTGAAAAACTAACCTGACATGTGTTCACGTTTTCCAAGTGTCCTTTTCTGTTTCTCGTACTCAAGATTTTGTAAGACACCCTCGATATCTAAAGATACGAGTACTTTTTTGAAACATTTATAAACTTTCTCGCCACATTTTTGCATCTCATCAATAAGTGTTGAAACTTTCATGTGGCTCTGTAACTCCTCGTTTGTTATACATGAATGCTGGTCAACGGTAAATAAAAATTTAGACAGAAATTGGTCATTTATTCTGTCAATGTAATCTTCGTTGTTCAGCAAATCTTTCAACGCTTCAGAGTCATTACTTGAAAACATCTTTGTCTCGTAGTGAACATTATGTACCTGTCGATACTCTAAAATATACAAAAATACTTGATATGAACGACCTTGCAATATCATAGTGTAAACTATTATTATACGATTTACTGATTAAGATTATTCTTAAAACATACTTACCAGTCAAAATGTTTTCCGTTGAATTAAAAGCTATGGAACATTGATAAATCAAGGATAATCATTTGTATTGAAGCACGAACTGTGTAATACATAGAGGATATAAAATGAGTGTAGGTTTAATACTATATTTATTGAACGAGTTGAATAAAATCATATTATGCGACTCTCTATATTGAATATACACGAATGTAATATTCTATTTATCACATATTTAATAAAAATGATAAACTGTTAAAAAGAGTCATTTTTCATTGACGCGCCTATTGTGCAACGCTTATATTAGCGCGCTTTTACGCTCTGTATGTATATAACGCAAATGACGTCACGTCAAAGTGTTATTTCAATTGCTTTATCTTGGTTTATCTGATTATATTTATTTTCATTTAAGCATTTAAATCACAGCGTTAATTTTATTTTTGCCTACAGTTAAGGGTTGTTCTTCAAAGGATTCTTTTATCTCTATTTTACAAATGCCATTATGAAAAATATAGCGTGTTACAGCAAAACATTTACAGTGAGGAAAATGTTTCTCAAATAATACTTATAATCAGTGGTTTAGCTTAATAACAATACACTCCAAATCAGTTATACTACAAATTCAACTTTTATAAATAATGATAAAATATATCCCGAAACAACCATTTTTCAATCACAACCTGACTTCAAACATAACCTTTATTTCGCGAGCTTTGGTGTCATCCATTACTAATTTGCATAATGTCACGCGCTGTTTTGACTTCAACTCCCGCTGAAACGTCAAATTTGACACATTTTCAAAAATGATCAGAAATATGGTAAGTAAAAGTTAATATTAACTTTATGAATGCCAAATTGACAATTTTTACTAATACTAAATATAAACTTGTTTGAAATAACTTTTTTCCAAGTAATTAAAACAACTTTTTATGTATTGGCTGTCGAGCTTTATCATTAACCAAGTCCTAGGTATACGGAAATTATTAGTTTATGTTGAACGCCATTAAATATTTATCAACCACAATATAGGGGTCTTATGATCGAAATCTGGTTTTTGTGCAAAATTTATTTTTATTTTTATCAGACTTAATATAGGGGTCCTTAATAATAAAATTGATGCTTTCTTTTATTTTCTATGAATTAAAAGTGACATTATGCTCATATTTTCACAGTGAAGTTGAGCTGAATTGAATTATATTACAAAAGATTGACTGTCAATATGGTTTTTGGCCAACAGTTGATATTGGAAAATGTTCAGGATAAAATTATGAATCTGCCTAAAATTAAAAAGACTGCCCAACTCTTTTTTATAAACTCAGCGTTATAGGTAAATTCTAATGGATATTTACAAAAATTTCGTTTGGATCTGTGCGTTATTTACTATTTATGCGAACCTTAATTATTAAATTAAAAGGATTTATGGCAAAATGAAAACTTATTTTGATCTTAACCCGTTCACTCACTATATACCCTTGGATGGGCATAATGTCACTTGAAATTTTATTTCAGGTGCAGTCCAAAACAGTGGGTCCATACATTCATATAGTGCTAACAGTGTGACTGAAGCATATAATGCTATCAGAGATTGTAAGATATCAATTAGAGGTGCATCAAGGCATTATGGAGTGCCCGTTACTACCATACAAGATCTAGACAGTGGAAAAAAATGATATTGATACTGTTAAGTCTAGCAAATTACCTCTCTTTTCTTTGGAACAAGAGTCCTTACTTGCACAGCACCTTAAAGTACTGGCAGAGGTAGTATATGGTTATAGCAGAACTGAAACCATCAATCTTGCAACTGACTGCTATTCATCTTGGCATTCGTGACAAAGATCAGCTGGCTCTATAACTTCCTTGGGCGCTGGTCAGAACTAAATGTGAAAGTTCCCAGGAGTCTTGAGATATCCAGAGCAAAATGAGCAACCCGTCAAGCAATTGACAAATATTTTATTGCGCTTGGTAATAAAGTGACCAAATACAACCTTCATGACTAACCCCATCTGATTTACAACATAGATAAGAAAGTTTTGAAAAGTAGTTGCAGGTACTTTTAATAAAACTCAACAAAGCCTGCAACATTTTCAATTTTGCCGTGTTGGGCTTTCTTGGAGGATTCTTATTTCTCTCTATTTTATCGCCAAATCAGCGTTGTTTGTGCCGTGTGGAGGCTGTAAAATGTCGCCCCACACAATCAATCAGGGATGTTATATTGCCGATCCTTAAAGATCGTTCAGCGCGACATTATTGTTGTGCTTGTGGTATTTTAGTTCTTTCCATTAGGCTATTTTCTTGTTGGCTGGTTCCAGTATTCCTCACTTGAGTACTATTATATCACCCTTGGGATATGTGGCCTGCTTTTGAATTTGTCTTTTGACGTCAAATTTGTGATATGCAGGCGTTCATTTAACGCCGCCTTATCTTGTGTATCATATATTTCATAACCTCAGAGCCCCTTTCAAAATTCCATTTTATTTAGTTCCGCTCATTATTTTCTCGTTTACGACACACGAATTTTATTACTTTGGAGCCATATGCCGCTAATAATGAAATGGCACTCACGTGTCACATTGAAGGTTCCATAATCACTGCGGATGATCCCGTGATCAAAATCGTACAATGGGCTCATAAAATGGCGGCCTACCCGCTCGGTTAAAGCAGTGAAATTGAGGTAAGCATACCGTTAACGTTAAATTTATATATAAAACTAGGCCGCACGGAATCCCTGTATAAAAACCACGTACTGTTCTGTTATTGGTTACTTTGTAGCTCTCTCTGCTTAGGCCTGAAAGTCTTGCTTAGGCCTGAAAGTCGAAAAAGTTGTTTTGGGTGATGAGTACAATGGCCGAACAGATACTAAAATACGTTGTTTTCAGTAAAAGAAACACATTTTGAGCAAAATTAGCAATGACATCTTGTGCACTATCGGAAGTTTGTCCGTCCAGAACAATTTCCATCCTTTATAAAATTGCATAACGAAGTTGTGCATCTTTTTATAAACGAGTACAATTGCAGAACCAAATTTAATGAGTACAATGGCCGAACGATTTTATTGCCTATCCTATTTTGACAAATTTTTCATTGAATTATGCTTGTTTCTCGCTTCCTGTCTTTGAAATCATACAAATATGATATTTGAAAGTGAAAAGTAGGAGGAAGTATTAAATTAAATAAATTCAGTTTGCTTGATATAAATTCTCATCTTAATAGTCTTTTGCTTTGATAACACACGTGTACATCAGCGTAAAAGTATTTAAAATACAAAAAAATACAAACATGTACATCAAATAGAATTTATTTCACCAGCAAAATATATGTTTCAATGACATATATCTTGGAAATAAAGTCAGGTTTTTTTTTTTTTTTTTTTATTTCAGACTCAGAAAAAGTGGTTCCTTTAAATGAAAAGCATGTTTACGTATATCTATGGAATATACACATGTAATGTATATATTAGATTTTAAAATTGTGCTTATATTATCGGTAAATATTTCATCACACCATATTAAGTACTTCAATATCTTAAGAGGAATTGGAAATTTCTTATGTGTTTATTTACCGGCATTATGACAAATCGTATAGAAGACGATCAGCTTCATGTCGTCACGAGCAGGTTCACAAGGGGAAGGCACATTGTGGGACATTGTTTCTAAGTTTCGGCAAATTGCAAAAACATAAGTCTGTAAATTGCATATCATACCAGAAGTACATAGCTGTCTGATATCTCTACATCTTTGTGTGGCAAAGATGAAAGAATACAAAGAAATGGTTACATAAAAAGTATTAAGAAAACGAAATAATGTAATCCTGGAGCAATATATTACCCTATTATTTGCAGTGGCATACAATGTACCTTGTGTGTTGAGAAATGAACGCATTACATATGTTCCTAAAAAGATTCAGCTGAAGTATAAAATTTCTTTTGAGATCAAATATTATGAAAGCCGGTTATAATAGCTCCAACATCGTTAAACATAACATGGAAGCCATATTTACATCAGTAATCTGATAGTGTTTCTAAAATTCGAATGTGTTTCAGTTGTTTCAGAGCAAACAACCATGGCGGATCAACACCGTTTCAGGCAATCAGTTGGCGACAAAATCTGACTAAGCAACACAAGTTATTCACTCAATAAACTTTATTGACGTTTCTGCACGTGACAAAAATATCATTATATGGCCAAAACAAAGTTTGATGACCTTATAAGAGGCACTTTTGTGACAATGACCAGAACAAACAAAGTTTCACTGAGTTTGCTTTGATATTACACATTTTGATCAGTGATTACTCAAACCCTGACATTATACGTGACTATATACGTAGGCTCTTCCATATGTAAATTTGTGTTTCTATTTGCCGGAATGGGAAGAAAGGTGATCAATCAGCATTGCTCTAGTTCGAAAAGCTTTGGGCAGATGCTGCAAGTTAGAGTGGGTTAGCATGGAATAACTTGTGTTGCTCAAGTTCAAGCAAACGAACTGCCACATTCTTCGCACTGATGCAGTTTCGGTCCTATTTGTTTTTGCACTGAAACAACTGAAACAAATTAGAATTTAGAAATACTATCAGTTTATTGATGTAAATATCGCTCCCATGTTGTGTTTAACGGTGTTGGAGCTAAAATAACCTGGATTCATAATATTTGTCCTCATAAGAAATTTTGTACTTTAATTGTACCTATTTAGAAACATGGGAACCAATAAACAGCCGCCTGATACGAGCACGGTTCTACTCCAAGTTTGTAAAAACAACTGTCATCCAATGTTATGCCCCAACTGAACGTGATTCTGATGAAGTCAAGAACAACTTCTATACCAACTTACAGGATCAAATAGACAAAACACCACAGCATGATATTCTCATTGTGATGGGGGACTTTAATGCCAAGGTTGGTTCTGATAACATCGGATATGAAACCTGCATGGGTTGTGAAGGACTTGGCGACCGAAATGACAATGGTCAACGTTTTTCTGACTTATGCCTGGAAAATGGACTGGTTATTGGAGGTACAGTGTTCCAACATAAGGACATACACAAGTCAACCTGGCTTTCGCCAGATGGCAGGACCAGCAACCAGATTGACCATATCGCCATCAGCAGGAAATGGAGAAGATCCATGACAGATGTAAGAGCCATCAGGGGTGCAGACGCAGGCAGTGACCACAACCTTGTGCTATGTAAGCTACAACTGAAATTGAGGAGTAGCGGAAAAAAGAATAAGCAACAGCTATTTGACTCCAACAAACTTAAGGACCTGAATGTGAAAACCCAGCTCAACTTGACACTGAAAAACCAATTTTACATCCTAGAAAGCACGCCAGCGGATGACATCAACTCCCTATGCACAAAGATCCAGAACATCTATCTGGATACCAGCCAGGAGGTTCTAGGCCACAAGAAACGAGACAGAAAAAAATGGATCTCCACTGACACTTGGAACCTTATAAGGGAGAGGAAGGTCGGTCATTAAGCAACAGATGCTAACAGGAAGTCCCGAAGAGAGATTAACAGGCCAGACCCGGAGGAGGAAGCTTCTGTTGAAGACATGGGATTCCATATAGAGATGAAGCGTGGCAGTATCACCCAGCACGAAATCATAGAGGCCATCAAGCAGACCAAAGGAAACAAAGCTCCCGGAGAAGACAAAATCACTTCAGACATGTTGAAAGCTGACCCCCGAGAGAGTGCAAAGCACCTTGTGGAACTATTCAACAAGGTTTGGGAAGAAGAAAGAGTCCCTGACTCATGGAAGAAGGGTGTCATCGTGAAACTGCCGAAGAAGGGAGACCTGACTCAGTGCGGCAACTGGAGGGGTATCAACTTGTTATCCGTTCCTGGAAAGATATTCTGCAGAGTTCTTCTATCACGGATGAAGCAGTCTATTGAGAGAGTCCTCAGAGAGGAGCAAGCAGGGTTTCGGAGCGGAAGAAGCTGCACAGACCAGATCTTCATTCTTCGGACAATAGTGGAGCAATCCCTTGAATGGAACTCTTCATTGTACATCAATTACATAGACTATGAAAAGGCGTTCGACAGCATACACCACCCTTCAGTGTGGAAGATACTCCTAGCATATGGATTTCCGCCAAAAGTTGTCAACATCCTTAAGGACATGTACGCCAACAACCAGTGCTGTGTACGTCATGATGGACAGCAAAGCGAATGGTTCCACGTAAAAACTGGTGTACGCCAAGGCTGTGTTATTTCACCAACGCTGTTCCTTGTTGTAATTGACTGGGTGATGCGGAAAGCAACTGAAGATAGACACAGAGGTCTAGTATGGGGACTGACTGCCCGCTTGGAAGACTGTGATTTTGCTGACGACATCGCATTGCTCTCCCATGTACAAAATGATATGCAGGAGAAGACAGATCGTGTCAGCAAAACTGCCAAAGGTGTAGGACTAAAAAACACGCTGGGAAAACAAAGCTGATGAAGGTGAAGACCAAAAGCAGCCAGAAAATCAGCATCAACAACACTGAGTTGGAAGAGGTGAAAGACTTCAAGTACCTTGGGAGTTACATCTCAGCTGATAGTAACATTGAGAAAGAGATCTCAACCAGGATTGGACTTGCAGCCCAGGCATTCAAGAGACTACAGAACATATGGAAGTCTAGAGCCCTGCATACCAAAACAAAACTAAAGATCTACACATCCAATGTCCGCTCAGTTCTTCTGTACGTGTCTGAGACCTGGAGAACCAACACCAAGGTTGAGAGTAGGCTAAGAGGCTTCGAGAGTCGCTGTCTACGCCACATTCTCAAGATCCGCTGGCAACAACATGTCACTAACGTAGAGGTCAACAGACGCTCCGGGATCACCAACATTGTTCAAGAGGTCAAGTCCAGACGATGGAGATGGCTGGGTCATGTTCTGAGGATGAACAAGCAGAGACATCCTCACAAAGAACTGAGATGGACACCACAAGGCCAGAGGAAGAGAGGTCGTCCACTAGGCACCTGGAGGAGAACCATCGAGGAAGAGATGAAGGCAGCAGGCAAGACCTGGAACGAGCTGAACTGGTTAGCTCAGGACAGGGATGGCTGGAAGAGATTTGTTGGTGCCTTATGCTCCACCTGGAGCGAAGAGGATTAGTAGTAGTAGTAATTTAGAAACATATATAATGCGTTCATTTCTCAACACAGAGTACATTGTATGCCGCTGCTTATAGCAGATATTGGGGCAATATATTGCTCCATGTTTATCTAATTTCTTTTTTCTTAATAGCTTTTCTTTCACTGCGAAAAATATACTGATATACGGGAATATACGGCCCCGTATTTTTGACAAATACGGGCGTGTACGGGATGTATTTGTCGAATATACGGACCAAGTATACGAGTCCGTATAGGGAACACCGGGTATACGGGAAGTCCGTATATGCATCAGGCATATACGGAATTCCGTATTTGCCCCATATACATGTACGTATATTTGTTCGTACTTTTGAAGTATACGGAGAATAAAATCCCGTATACGGAATTTATCAAGGTTGTTATCCCTAGTATACAATAAATATACCAGGGATATACGGGACCGTATTTTCTACATATACAGAGGATATACGGACTCGTATTTTCTACGTATACAGAGGATATACGGAACCGTATATTCTACATATACAGAGGATATACGGAATCGTATTTTCCACATATACAGATGATATACGGAATCGTATATTCTGCATATACAGAAGATATACGGAATCGTATTTTCTACATATACAGGGAATATACGGAATCGTATTTTCTACATATACAGAAGATATACGGAATCGTATTTTCTACATATACAGGGAATATACGGAATCGTATTTTCAATATATACTTGGGATATATGGAATTGCATTTTTTAGTTTTACACAGGGTATACAGAACTGTATTTTCGAGATAAAAGAAGGTACAGATAATATCAAAAGCATGCATTAACATATAAGTGACACTTATACATGACCGAAATGCAGGCTTGTACAATAGAACATGTTTGATTACACATTGTGAATGGGAACTGTAAAGTCATATGCTTAAGAACTTTATCTTCACAATTGGAGTATTTCAAATAATAAAGTAAAAACCAAATCGAGTCACTCTTAAATATTTATTATTTCTTAAACATATATTCAATATGTATACATATATTAAACAAAATAAACATGTCTTCAACAGTCATATATTGTTGTAAGCCTTATATTCTAGAGGGACACATTAATGTAGCGTTGCAACGGAATAGCGATATACCGGTATGTTGCGATACAGAGTCATGTAATACGTATCACAGTGCAGAACATCCTCACCGCGATATTTTCTTCAAAGATCGAATTATACATGTACATGTTTCGATATTTTCAAGCCGTAACCTTTATGAATTGCATGTTGTTTAAATCTAGAACAAACTATACCAACTTGAAGTTCTTTTCTTTTTATCTTAACAATGATTTTTATGAGCCACTTATATTACACCCATAAAACATTTTAAAGATATTAATATCATTTTGTTCGTGTTAACATTCACATATTATTTTAGGAAAATGAGTCCATAGCACAAATTGATTATAACAGAAAGTTTTAATAATAACCATTAAAACTAAAAATCCGTATTCACAGAAATTCGACATTCAAACACTATTCTTAAAAGCACTTAAATATATCAATCATCTATAACAGGAATGTTACGTTGACCAGTGTAACGGTGTCTATTTCTTGACGAAGGAAATGTTTTCTCCAGATATTACAATCTTCTTCGGCATGTGTGTATCTGAAAATAGAGAGTTTAAAATCCTGTTTAAACAGTGTCATGAAATAGTTATCACAACTTTCAAAAAGACTATACACAAGCATTTTATTTAAGCGTATACATATATACATTTTTTTCTTACGCAAATTTCAAAATTATTTCATATTATTAGGATAAAGATGTCATTTATAAGCAACAATTTACACAGGATTTAAATGAAATGATTAATCTATGACGGATGATAAGTTATATTTTTTGTTATAAAACCTTTTCGAATATATATATTTCACACATGTAATATAATGGTATCTTTGTTCTATGTAAAGAGTATTTTATTGATTAAAACTACCTTGTATATTAGTACAAAATAACATTGTATTGGAGAAAAGTGCTGACATAATATTTTTGATCGTTTTATAATGTATATTAACATCGTTAGGAGAAATCAATTCGTTCTGAAAAAAGGTTTAAAATGTACAGATATGCGAAAGTACAACTTTATTTGCTACTTAGATGTAGATCCGTGTTTGCACAATGATATCAAGTTAAGTAAAATGCGGAATACCCAGTTATACCTTTCATTAATATAAAAACGTAAATCTTAACAAATTTGGATTATTGTTTGTTTCAGTTTCAATTATTTCAAAAACTATCTCATCACAACTTCACAGCAACGAATGAATACCTTCAATATACAATAGTGTAGATTAATATGTTTATTGTTAAGACTGTTTAACTAGGTTAGTTGACAATAAAATCTCTTACAGTGTACCATCACTAAAAATAAAGTGATAATTCTCACAAAAATAATCAAAATATCCTCCCTTGCCTGTAGCGTTAATCTGATAGTATGAAATCAAATTCAGATAATAAAATATACGTATCATATGTGACAATCGCATAAAATAAAATAGGAAATATTTTGATTAATACATGCCAATGCGACAGTAGCACGTGCGCACGTGAACATTTACGTATCAACGCAATATGTTTCACGTGCGCACAAATATTGTGCGTTTAGTATAATAATTAAGTGACGAGGTGGTCAAGTCCACTATCCAGGTGTAAAACAGCTATCATATTGTGTTTATTATATTCAATCAGGCTAGCTATATAAATTAAATTATCAACAAATTTACCAACTCTCAGCGTAATGCAGGTAAGGTTGTGGTAAATATCAATACAAGGCAGCTAGATTCGGATTGCACATTTTTCCCAAAAATATTGCTTTATAATTATCAATCAAGTAAGAAAATTTTGTATTATTTATTGTAAAGATTATAAATACTGTGCTATTTTCTATTAACTTCTCATTTTGTTTTAAATGTAGCTATATTTAGCCTTATTTAATAATTTGGTGCAAACTTATACGGAATGCATGATACTGTGCACAGACTGTTTCAACTATAGTTTAAGTTTGCACGAAAAACTCTTGCACTGCAAAAGTACTGTGACTACTTCATACTAAATGGTTCGAAATTTCGCTGTTTCACTCCGTAGCGAGAATTAATCTTGTTTTTTTTCTATTCCCCATTTACGTTCAAGAAACTCTTCCCTGGCTGTTATCGCTTAAATGAAAGGGTCTATACAGGGTTAAAATCACTATCATCTGTACATGTATATCTAAATTATCAAATACCATAACAAAACTGCCTTTATATCCCAATTCATTTTTCTAATGTAAAAATAAAAAAAATATATGGAAAGAAAATCGCAAAAAAGTGAGCTCGAAGTTGTGATAAAATTTAATGTGTATGACATTCTAATGACTTTACTAACTTTGCCATCAAGACATTTCAAATTCTGTTTCTAATCTTACATTATATTCGCTTCTGAAAACCCTGTTATACATATTCAGACAAAGGTTGTTAACTTAACTGTACATGTACAAAAGAAAATGTAACGTCACTCTCACATTATCAAAGCGGCGTAATTATCGCTTACGCACATAGTAAAATAAAAAAAGTACTATCATTAAAATATAATTGAGCTGCGTCACGACAAAACCAACATAATGGGTTTGCGACCAACATGGATCCAGACCAACCTGCTCATCCGCGCAGTCTGATAAGGATCCATGCTGTTCGCTTACAGACCCTATAACAAGTAAATAAACTGATAGCGAACAGCATGGATCCTGACCAGACTGCGCGGGTGCGCAGGCTGGTCTGGATCCATGCTGGTCGCGAACCCATTATGTTGGTTTTGTCATGACGCAGCTCATATAAAAGTGATTAAACTGTAAAGAAGTACATATCTTTTTGATACAGTAATATGTTTTAGAAAAGAAAACTAATTCAATAAAATAAAATGGCATGCACAGTGCATCTATATTAAACCATTGTGTGCGTTGGAATTGTTTCTTATATTTTATATACTTGATTTTTGCATATTAAAAGTATGGATGTTTAAGCATTTTCAAATGCGCAGCAAAATGCTTAAATGCCTTAATTGACGCCATTGATGAAGTGTGACATCATTCCACCTAAGAATTGATTCTAATAAGATATAAAAGAGAACCAATGTATTTATAATTAACCCAATTTATTCATGTCAAAATAAATGCGTGTAATTAAGGAAATTTGACTTTGCCTTTGCCTGGAGAAAGAATAAAACACATGCTGTCAGTACGGATGGAAATATATGAGTATGGGTAACTCTTCTTTACAGACAGTACCTCCGTGTTATTGTCTTATTTTATTCACAAAGTACAACAATGAATATACGTGAACTTACATCTATATAACTTGCTACCATACTTTGCTCCATCTATAATTGCTGTAAAGAGGGCACAGTTGCATTTCTGGAAGATTTAAACACGCTTTACACTGTCCTGAAAAAATCATAATATTACTTAAATATAATAAATATAAAGAGCACATTGAAAATAATTCATAAGTGATCACATGTGCGAAAGTGTTAATACTGTAGAAACGTGTTCACTTTTTTGTGCATGTGTAGTTATGTATTTTTGTTTGTTCGTGCGTGCGTGCGTGTGTTACAATATCGCTTTATGTGAAATATAAGTCAAAATATGGAATGTCGAAAATTTTGTGATGTACAAAGGCTCAATACAGTTTAAATTTATGTGTAACGAAATATTAAATAACTGTCTCCTCAAACAGGCGCTTGTTTGTGACTGACTCATGCGATATCACCTTATGCGTAATGTTTATCTTAAAAAACTAAACAAAGAGTTTTAATTATAATAAGAAAAATATATTCAAATTTTAATATGTCCAATAAAAAATCAAATGTAAATGTTAAAAACTCAGTTCATGTATATGCAATTTAAAATCTGGGTTATCCTGAACAACGTAGATAAATAAGCAAGAATATCGAATGAAAACCAAGAGTTGTCTTTCCTGAATTGCGAGTAAACGCCATCTTGCTAATGCTAAAACAATACAAACAAACCCGTTTTAAAACTTCTAGTTCGTTGCGATATTTTATATTCACGAGTTTTAAAATTCTTACACCGACAACAGGCTCGTGATCTAAGCGTAGTATCAATGTAAAAATTAAACATATCTTTTGTACGGAAACGTATAGCGACCACCCCTATATGTTACTTAAACATAATTTTTGACAATTTATTTAATACATATTATATGCCTGACCAATTTTAACAAACTTACTTGATCTGAAATAAGTATCTAGTAATATCTACAGACCCTGCATGTTGCTAAAAACAGAATTTAAGACAATTTATTTAACACACGATATATATTTTGACCAATATTTACATTGTTATTTGATTTTGAATATATATCATTTACTCAATCTGCTGTTAATATGGCTGGATTCAAATTTATGTGACATTTTTCTGTTCATTTATATGTATTAGTTATTTATAGTGAGGTTTTTTATTCGCATACCTCTATCATTATAAAATATAATATAACATATTTTTCAATTTATATTTGATAATGAGGACAGAAAAATATCGCACAGTAGAAAGCCTTTTTAAAGATTATATATGAAACATTTGATTGAGGCTTTTTGTATTCCAAAGATGAAGAAATGTTTAAATAATTGTGCTTCAGATAGTGTTACAAGATAAAGATTATATAAAAGGACAAACTCCGTTAGTTGTTGATAAGCATAAGATATGCTAGTGAAGTAGTACCTGATGTAAATTAGTTACCATAGAAACCATTATATTCTTGTAAGATATATAATATATAGCTTAAAACTACAACTTCTGACAAATTTACCATTTTAAATGTATGTACAGAGGATATGTTACATTATATTTTATAATGATAGAGGTATGCGAATAAAAAACCTCAATGTATATAACTAATACATATAAATGAACAGAAAAATGTCACATAAATTTGAATCCAGCAATAGGTACAGCAGATTGAGTAAATGATATATATTCAAGATCAAATAACAATGTAAATATTGGTCAAATATATATCGTGTGTTAAATAAAGTGTCTTAAATTCTGTTTTTACCAACATGCAGGGGCTGTATATATTACTAGAAAAACATTCAGATCAAGTAAGTTTATAAAAATTGGTTAGGTATATAATATGTATTAAATAAATTGTCAACAAGTCTCTTTTAACTAACATATAGGGGTGGTCGCTATACGTTTCCGTAATTAAAGACCACTTGATGTTATTATAGGAACATAGATCCCAAAGCTTAAGCGATATTTGTCTTATACGATGTGTGACACGAGAAAAGTCAAGACATTTGTATTTAATAAAGGAAGCAATTGAATCGAGTAATATTGTAAATCATATATAATACGTATTTTTTTGTAATCTATCGTACGTTTTTATCTTATAATGCAAGATAAACTACTTTTAACTTTTTGACAAAATGGAACAATAAAACACTTACATCTTTTTAAATATGTAATTCTTTCCTCAAATCATATTTGCATATAACAAACATACTATAAAAAAGTCATTTGATATATATCATATAGGGATGGTCGCTATACGTGTCCGTACTTTTGACACCAAGGGTAAGTGAATTAACAGTTAACTGATAAACTTACCACCTGTCGGCTATATTACATGCAATTATACAGATATATATCTGTCATTCTTTGTATTAATGTAAATAACACATTCTGACAAATATTTTCAAGATTTTTATTCATCTTATTGTATAATGATTAAAATGAAAAAGAAATATTTGTTTGCTTTTTTCAGATTTTTATTCATTTAAGATTAAGAAATATATAACAACATGTGTACAGAAACTTTAAAACAAGTGAAAAAAAATGAAAAGAGCGGAGTCTTTAAATTGACTTATGTTTGCATCAAATAATGGGGATTTGTATATTTGCGAATATAAAACAAGTATTCTGCACGTTAAATTATCAAGACTGAGAAAGACAATTTTATCTAAAAATTTATAAACATATTTTTTAGAAGTACTAAGCAATTTTCTTTTAAAATATGTTAATCTGTCAAATCTGATAATTTTTGTTATTATAATTGTTATTATTATAAAATAAATTAAAAAAATAACCTATTTTTCGGTATCAATTTCATACATAAAATAAATAAAATTTGAGTGTGTCTTGTCGATATGATCTTTCGCACCCCTGATTTTAAGTGATAATTGAGATCGCTCAAGATTATAAAGTCCAATCAGTTGACCAATCAAGCATACATAGGTCGTGTCACACACACTGATTAATCCTTTAGTACGACCATGTCCAGGGGCTGTATTATACCTTGACATCTTCGATGTTTAAATGTCGTTATTTTAACGTGGTGTCTTTTTTACCCTAAAGGGAAGTTATGATTAACAAATTTAAGAAATGCCCTTTTCATTTTTTTTTTCATTTTTCAAACAAATTATTAATTAAACAAGATACAGTTTAGAAATCAAAATCAAACTCGTAAGCTCCCAGTCTAAATTTAGGGATATATCCCTGCTTTAATTATCTAATCCGGCGGCCATATTGGATAGCGAAACAGATTAAACAGTGTACAAATTTTCTAAAAACAAATCAGTTTAACCCTGAAATAAGCTGTTGTTCACAAAATTCAACTATTCTATTGATCGCATTTTGATATTACAACGATAAAAAACCTTTTAACCTACCTTGTTTTGCAATATTCTGAATTTTATCTCTTATCCATTTCCAATCGTGTTTTTTTCTTTTTTCATTTCGCCCGCGCTATTTCTGATTGGTTGATATGATTCACGTGATACAAAACCAACGCTTTAATCTCATTGGTTGTTTTGAAAACGCGTGATATGCCTAGATACCGTTTGTGTAATAAAGCATTTAGCATTAATAATGCCACGGATTTAAATTAAGGTCCGTGCTAATGCGGAAGAAACTAGCATACTAAGACCTTAATTTAATTAAAAAATAATGCAATATTTAATTGAAAATATCATGTATCCATAAATGATAACTTTGCATATATGTATAATATAACCATTGATACTTTTTCATAGGCAAAACTTTGATTCTAATGCTTAATCGGTTATTTATTCTTTTAATAATAATAATAATAATAATAATAATAATAATAATAATAATAATAATAATAATAATAATAATAATAATAATAATAATAATATTTATGATGATGATGATGATGAAGATGATGATGAAGATGATGATGATGGTGATGATGATGATGATGGTGATGATGATGATGATAATAATAATAATAATAATAATAATAATAATAATAATAATAATAATAATAAAAGACGTTTAAGAAGCGCATAAATAAAGACGTTTAAGAAGCGTTGAGAAATATTCATAAATTACACAAATTTTTGAAACAACAACAATAAGCGGGTAAAACATGAAAATAAAAATAAAAAATAACTTCTCTAGAGAATGTACTTTTTATATTTCTTTATTTTTTTAGTCGAATTGTCAAAATTCTAAAATATTAAATTGTTTTAATAAAGGATTGATAATTAATAGTAAAATTTATCATATATTTTAGTTTGACAACTGTAATTAAATAAATGTATGTGTGTTGAAAGCTCAGTACTTATATTAGAAAAACTTTTTATTCATTATCTGCTCTTATGGAATAACTGTTCTGTTTGGGACTTTATTCATATTATGTCCTAGTTTCTATTATGCAGTAGACACTTAATTTCATTCAAATATGCTTTAAAGCCAATGAGGACACTTATTACTTTATGTAAATATTTTATGTTTATTGGAGGTGACTTATAGGCCCATTGGGCCGGGTGTATTTAATACGTTGTAAAATTAGATATGTAAAATATGTTTACACACGTCACTAAAATAAATAAATTACTAACTTACTTATTCACAGAATAAAAAAATAAAGATCCCTTCACATTATCTGCGGATTTCATAATTGAAATAAAATTTTACCAGTATAAGAATATGTGGAATATCGGTTACAATTCAAAAGTCCAATTTGAAAAATGATTTTACTATCAATATATAATTTATTATGTTCTTAACTTGATTTTTTTACAACAAATTGCGACAATCTTTAATATTTAAACAAAAAATTACAAAAAAAAACATGGCTATATCTGTTTCATTTTAATATGTCAGGTTAGAGTCTTTATAATATCTGGAATAAAATTACATAGATACTTTGTTAAAATATCCCAATTTAATTCCATTCTTTCTTACAAGAAATTAACAGCGAAAATTACCGTTATGACATTAAACACCAATTGCGCGAACTTACATAATTGGAGAAAACCGACACTCGTGATACCCTGCTGCGTTTATGATCAATATCCGGATCAATATCCGGCTGAATCAGTATTGGCTTCGATTATCGCAATACAGCACGTGGCTGTTACGCAATATTATGTCAGAAATGAGACCGCGCGAAAATAATTAAAATTGGGGAATTCGGAACTTCATAAGATTTCTATTCCAAACTTGTGTATAAAAATGCAAGTCTTTATGTTTCCTGAAATAAATGATTAAATAAATAAATGATTAATAAATAAATAAATAAATAAATAAATAAATAAATAAATAAATAAATAAATAAATAAATAAATAAATAAATAAATAAATAAATGAGTGGTGATGAATGAATGAATGATTGTTTGATTGGTGGTTGATTGATTGATTGATTGATTGAATGAATGAATGAATAAAAGAATGAATGAATGAATGTGAATTAATGAATTAATGAGATATCATGCACATTGTTGTTGTTTTTTACATATGCAAGTACATGTATTAAATTATTATAGGATATATATAAACGTAAAATTTAAATACTGTGTATGGACAATCCCGATTTCACATCTACGTGATTACATAATTTTTACCTTTCACGATTTCAACTTCACAGATCCACGATTTTAATATAATTAATTTATGTTTAGAACATCACAATTTTAACTTTATCATTTTCTCATGTTTGGCTTATCATTTTAAAAAAATATAATGATAATAATAAAAAAAAATACAAAATAACATGATTCTCACCATAAATGCAGAATACAAAAAGTACTATCTAATCGTCAATCGCAATTGTAAAGTATTCGCTATTTATCTGCGGCTGTATGCTAAAACGCAAACCATGCGGTATTGACCTAGAATTACGCGTTGCTTTGTATACAAAAGAAGATATTTCAATGTACGTTGTCGTTCTTTGTCTGCATGCTACAGGTGGATGTTTTACACGTTCTGTGCACTGACGATATTATAAGTATGCAAGTAACGTGTTAATACTTCCAGAAAAATATTACATCGTGTAAAAGCGTTCCTGTTTATGTTAGTTTGTCAAATGTCTGACAAATATTAGATCAGACTATTTCTTTCCTCTTATAGGTAATAGGCGATTTAGAAGTAAATCTTCATTCGCTATTCTTATATACAGAAATTCCGTATTTGCACGAATACGGAATTTCGTATTTTAGTAATATACGGACTTGTTATAAAAATTCCGTATATCATTAAAATACGGACTTCGTATATCAAAGTTCCCGTATATTACGAGTGTACGGATCACCGTATATTGGTCATATACGGACTGACATAATATACGCGTCCCGTACATCTCCGTATTTCCAGTTTCCCGTATTCTTACCCGTATATTGATGATATACGGAATTCCGTACACTTCCGTATATCCATACCTTTTTCGCAGTGTTTATTTACATGTAACCACTTCTTTTGTGTTCTTTCCATCTTAGACACTCAAGCAGTATGTAAAAATATCAGACAGCTATGTACTTCATGTACAATATGTAATTTTACAAACCAATGTCTTTCTAAGTTAGCCGAAACTTAGGAACCATGTCCCACAGCATGTATGGGATACCTTCCCCTTGTGTACCTGCTCGTGACGACAAGAAGCTGATCGTCTTCTATACGATTTGCCATAATGCCGGAAAATAAACACATAAGAAATTTCCATTTCCTCTTAAGATATTGAATTAATATGGTGTGATGAAGTATTTAACGATAATATAAACACAATTTTTAAAATCTAATATATACATGTAAATATTCCAAAGATATACGTAAACATGCTTTTCATTTAAAGGAACCACTTATTCTGCGTCTGAAATTAAAAAAACAACAACAACAAATACAAAAACAAAAAAACCTGACTTTATTTCAAAAAAAGAATTGACAATTTTATGTATGTAATTGAAACATATATTTTTGCTGGTGAAATAAATTCTATATAATGTACATGTTTGTATTTTATTTTTTGTATTTTAAATACTTTTACACTGATGTACACGTGTGTTATCAAAGCAAAATACTATTTAGATGAGAATTTATAGCAAGCAAACTGAATTTATTTAATTAATACTTTTTTCCCTACTTTTTACTTTCAAATATCATTTTCGTATGATTTTAAAGACAGGAAGCGAGAAACAAGCATAATTCAATGAAAAATTTAACGAAGTAGGATAGGCAATAAAATCGCTCGGCCATTGTACTCATTAAATTTGGTTCGGCCATTGTACTCGTTTTAAAAAAATGTACATCTTCGTTATGCAACTTTACAAAAGGATGGAAATTGTTCTGGACGAACAAACATCCGGATTGTGCACAAGATGTCATTGCTAATTTTGCTCAAAATGTGTTTCATCTACTTGAAAAACAACGTATTTTAGTACCTGTTCGGCCATTGTACTAATCACCCAAAACAACTTTTACGACTTCAGGCCTAAAACAGAGAGAGCTACAAAGTAACCAACAAAGCAGAACAGAATGTGGTTTTTTACAGGGATTCCGTGCGGCCTAGTTTAACATATAAATTTAACGTTAACTGTATGCTTACCTCATTTTCACTGCTTTTTACCGCGAGCGTTTAGGCCGCCATTTTTATGAGCCTATTGTACGATTTTGGTCACGTGATCATCCGCAGTGATCAATGATCGCAGTATGAACACATCTGCGGATGTTTTCAATTTTCTAAATTTTACCAGTTCATGTTAAATGTTGAATTCTGCTTAAGCCGGTGCTAGGGGCATGGGTGTTGGTAACTTGTAACTTACCATAACCGTCCATGAACAGGCTCAAACAAACCGAGCCTGCAACATTTTCAGTTTTGCCGTGTTGGGCTTTTTTGAGGATTCTTTATTTATCTCTTTATTTATAACATCAGGCAAGTCAAAAACTTAAACACTTACTGGTGTAGGACAACAAGTTCCACCTATATTGTGTTGCCTGGTAAAATAATGCTACCAAAACTGATTGAGGGTCTTTTGCATGTGCTGATGGTACTGTTTCTACCTCTGGGTGGTCTAATTCAGAAGTTTATTTCAGATTACATGAAAAAAATTTTGTCAAAATACTTACCAGTAAGAGACACAGACACATATATACTTGTTCTTTGTGATGGACACAAAAGTCACGTTTCCCTCAGTTTGATAGAGTGGGCTAAGTTGAATAACAATGTTTTATTTTGTATTACCACCCCACTGCTCAGTCGCCCTCTTCAGCCCCTTGATGCAGGATGCTTCGGTCCATTTCAAATGGCATGGCGGCTGTGTCTTTAAAGATTTGATGTTTGTCGTTTAATGCCAAAAAATTCTGGAAACAAAGTGATCCCTCGGAAGCATTAATCACAACAATGATGTACCCACATCTTATTATTGTAAAGTGGGGAAGATGTGATAGTTGTGATGGCTGGGTGCACTTATCATTTTTGCACCCCGATAAGGGGTACTAAGAAGAGGGGACAGTTTCTACTGCCCCTCTTTAGAAACATGGGCCAGTAAGCAGGACATACTATTACTGTAAATATGCTATAATTGTTATTTTTTCACCATAAATCTACTGCGTGACGACAGTAAGGGTTATTTCTGCATATTTTCGGCTCTTTTTTACCGTGTATTGTGAGTGTTATTTGCTTTCTTTGTCCATTTCACAAAAATATACATGTTTTCTTTCAAAAGCATATTCAAACATTTTTCGTTGAAAATGGGCCATTAAATCTAGAACGCATGCTGCTTTTTAACCATTTCCATGTGCAAGCTACATTCTTGTTACTTCATTATTATCCCGGAACTACGATAATTCGAACACGTAAATTTAGAGAAAAACAAATCCCTAAAGAAAGCCCAACACGGCAAAATTGTAAAATGTTGCAGGCTCGGTTTGATTGAGCCTCTTCATGGACGGTACTGGAAAGTGCAAGTTACCGCCCACGCCCCCTAGCAACGGCTTAAGCAGAATTCAACATTTAAACACAAAAATGGTGAATTTTGAATTTAGAAACATCCGAAGATGTGTTCATACGGCGGTTACCATGGAACCTTCAATGTGACACAGTAGTGTCATTTCATGAAAAGCGGCATATGGTCCCCAAGTACAAAAATGCGTGTGCCCTAAACGAGAAAACAATGAGCGTAACTAAATAAAATGGAATTTTTAAAGGGGATCAGATGTTACGAAGCCTGCATATCACATATTTGACGTCAAAAGACAAATTTAATAAGCAAGGTTGATTCAACAGTATTCAAGTGAGGAATACTGGAACCACCCAACGAGAAAGATGCCAAATAGAAAGAACTAAAATGCTACAAGCAGATCAATAATATCGTGCTGAACGATCTTTAAGAGTCGAAAATATAACATCCCCGATTAAAATGTTTATAAAGTTTGTAAAGATTGTAAAGTTTCTGCCCTACGCAAATTAGCATGTGCGAGAAAATACAGTCTTGCACAACAGAGGACCGCGTCGTAAAAATGTCTATATATTCCAAAAAAAAAATACTTGTTAAATCCTCTTCGGTGACTTCTTTGGTATCAACAAGAAGTTTTGTCTGCATTTGGACAGTCCTTAATTCTCCAATAAACTGCGATTTCTTTTCGTTTGAAACATGCTAAAATCTATAAGAAGAAAAGAATCATTATCCAACAAATTATCTCGAAATTCCTGGAATAAAAAAACCTAATTTCTTAATGCTGCCGGTGGCAATAAAATACGCATCGACCGAAGCAGTAACCCTTGATTACTTATAATCTGATTCTTTTCCTTATAAGCTAAGTGGACAAAATTTGCAACTTTTTCCGCCATTTTCGAAAGTCTTTGAATAAGAACCTTCCCCGGACTAAATATAGATTTGATCACCGTGATAAAATGAGCCCGTCAAAAAAATTGTACCCTTATGTGATAAATTATGATTTATATTTGTACAACCCCCCTGATGAAGGCTACTAAATAGCTTAAACGTTAGCCATTAATAAATAAAACTGAAACCTGATCCGCTTTTTTTTTGGTTTCACATCCTGAATTCTTTAGTCAAGAGTTAATACAATCATAAATGAACGATGTTACCATTTGTTGTATTTAGATTGAATTAAAACTCAATATTTGTTTTCTTTATTTTAAAAATATTGAAAAAAAGAAAAGGTTCAATGAGTTTAAAAAAAAAATCCGGTAATCAAAAAATTTTCCCCCTTTTTAAAAAAATATCTACAACCCGTCCCTTTTTTTGCGGATTCAATCTCCAAATTTTAGCTCTCTGTCTTCAGGGAAAAAGTTTTTTAGATATCCCAATTTACATCAGGTCCTGTAGCTCCTCTTTCAGCAACTTTTAGGGCTGACAATTTCCCCCTGATGACGATTGGACTCCACTAAATTTTTTTTCAAAATTTTAAATTTTTACATTACAAAAGGAGGGGGTTTAACACCAAGGGCCTTGTTGCCTTGTCGCCATCGTTTTGGGGACATGGTGATACATGATATAGTAAAACGAAGTGCATGCCATTTTTTTTCCACTTCTAAGGACTTTTACTAGGAAAGTGATAATGTAAACATTAAAAACAACATTTTTGCCGCTTTTTTAATAAAAAGTAATATATATTTAACACAAGTAACCTAAAACAATGGCTTGTATTGAATCTTCTTTCTTTTATACTTTTCATGTTTTTTCGTAAAAATGATAAAATTTTGGTAAACATTCGTCAATAAACGACATGTGAATCGTTATGACTCACTGTTTATATCGTTATTCACTTAGCTTTACAAAAAATAAATATTGAGGTATCTTTTGGTAAAATCTTAATAAAAAGTATTTTTGGACCAATAAATAAACTTCAGAGATTTTTGAAAATATTTTCCAATTTATACTTTGTGTAAACTTCTTTACCTATTCAATGATTTCTTGGTAATTAATAATAAAAGCTATCCTGGATATTTGTGAGGATACATTACAAGTGGATATTCAATCATTCACAATGACAAGACATGATAAGTATTTATCCAGGACTGTTCGAAATCAATTTTTGTTAGGAATTGTAAACATTTGAATAATTTGTTAATTAATTATTTTAATTTGTTTTTAAGAATTAATTTGTTATATTGATTTTAAAATTTGTAACTTTTTAATTTTTTGCTTACTGTCTGGACCGTAGTAATTTATGAGAACCAATTACAGCATTAAAACTGCATACGCATGTTATTTAATTACTAGATAAATATCGCACAACCTGCACCGTTTTGTTGCACTGTTTATAAAATTGTGACTAAAGGCCGCCATGTAAAAAAGCTAACTGAAAATAAAGACAGTGCCTGTTGTTTAATTCTCAAGACGAACAAAATAATTACTGTATTTCCTAAAATAATGACATATTTTTATGTAAGCTGCAGGCTAGGGCTTTGAATACGATCCCGTAGTTTGCAGATGATTTTGCACGAAAAAGGTACATTAATCCTCTATAATTATCTATATACTTGTTTATGGCCATGATAAAATGCCAATATAATCTAACAGCTATCTGTTTACTAGAAATCTTACTTTCCCCCGTTCATTGCTTGGCTGTCTTGATTTAAACATTTCCGGGCCTCCGTAACCCCGCTTTATAATGTTTTGCTCTTTGAGGCATGTTGAAATATGCTTGATTCTCTTTCCTCCTTCCTGTAGTCAAAACGGATTTTGAAGTAGTTTGTTGGTTTTCATGTTCAGTATTAAGACCTAAAAAAATTGTTTGTAGAAGTCAACAGCTAATAAAAATTATAATAAGACGACATATTCTAAAAGACAAATAAATGACCTTTAAATGTAATTAAAATTTAAAACAAGCAGTAAATATTTCCACATTTTTTTTTTTGTGGAAAATATTAAGTTACAATAATGCATAGGTTAAACTTCTGTTTTTTTTTTAAAAAAAACTTAAAACATTTGAAAATACTCAATTTTTGACCATATCTGAATTTGTTGTTGCAATTTCTTGACAATTCACGTGCTTTTTTGGAACATTCTGCATCGTCTGTACTTGATGGGGAAAGCCTGATTGTATAATTTCGCATTTTTAAAACCTTGTAAATTTGCAATAATTGTTCAAGATTTAGTTTAATCATAAGAACATAAAGAAATTTGCTTGTTAAAGAATGTCAGTGTTAAAACAGTTATATTTTAAAACATATATTATTCAAAATGGAACGGACCTATTTCCTGACTTAAAACCAAGCGTTAAACCAAAAATTAACAGACAAATAATCTATGTTAAACATGGACACAAAAATATGGGGGAAAATTGCCAGAGAGGCCAATAAAATAAACCCTTTTTAAATACACACATTTTTACACTTTTTAATCAAATAATTTAAAAGAAGACTCCCGGCAAAAAACTCAGGTTATATCATTTAATAATTATGAAAAATATTAAATTACAAACGGAATAGCCATTTTCTTTAGGTAAAAAAAAACAATGTACCTAGATTTTATTCTTCACAAAATTTATTAAATGAAATAATTATTGTTATTTACCTAATGAATTTCGCTGTGTTTCTTTGTTGATTTTTTTGTCGATACCTTATTCACAAAAGGTGCTTATTTCAGCCTTTAAAACAGAGTTTTAAATAGTGTTTATCACCAGTATAAGAAAAATGGTATTAAAACCTATCGACCTGCTTTTGTTTAATTTGCAGACGTGCATCTATGTAAATTAATATTTTTAATGCATTTTCCCCTAACAATCTATAAAAACTAAGATGAAAAAATTCATAAGAAAAAAAATAAAACAAGTTACAAACTAGATATTTTATTTGAAATTATTTTAAAACCATGGGTTTATTTTACTTGCAAAATAAGAAAAAGATAGTTTACTTTACTTACTTGAAATGGAACTTTTCATGTCAGTCAGAGATGTTTTGTATAATGTTGTCTTTAACAAATAAACTACTTATATGTTTTAAAACAATAAGAAAATCCAATCAGTTTAGACATAACTTTCATACAAAGTGGCATAATCTGAACGGTGTTAGCTTTTTTAAAAAAATGACATTCAAAGTACGATGTTAATGGTTTTACGCCCGATGAATTATTAATACAAAATATATTTTAGGATTTCAGGGAGAGTATTGTGAAAGTCATTTTGAATTTAAATTACAAAATACATTTTTAAGTAAAAATACTAAGGTTCATTTAGACAAGAAATAAGATCGCTGGACCCCGCTCTTTTGTTATTTGTAAAATCACTAGTATTGAATGAAAAATTTATACGAGACTTGTAAACAATTTCTAAGAAAATGTCATAAATAAAATTGCCTTTTTCAAAATGTTACAACAGAAAGAAAAAAAAAAAAAAAAAAACAACAAAAATTTAAATTTTGAAAAATTTATCTAGACTTTTTTTTAGATTTTTAGTCGAAAGGAAGATTTTTACGCAGAAAAATTATCTTTTGCCAGACATCTTGCTGTCGCCAAAATAAATAAAGAAATTAGGCTTATTCTTTTTGTCCTCAAACAAAACCTACCTAATATTTTAGTTGAAATATTTTATATCTTAGTCATCATATGATTTTAAGAGCTTATTTTGAGAAACTGTGCAAGTAAAGGACAGGAAAGAGGAAAAACCGATAGGAAATAAGAAATAAATCCACACAGGGGAAGAAGTGAGCTGTTGTAACTATTTTTAGTGAATATTTTAATTGTTTTCAATAACAAAATGATAATGAGTAATAAATTTTTTGTTATTTTTCTAATACAAAAAAAAAAAAAAAAAAAAAAAAAAAACACGAAAAAGCATGAAAAAACACCTATTTTGCCGTTTTTGATATCATTTTGTTTGAACTGTTTCACAAATAATGGGTATTTAATGAGGGTAGATTAATACTAAATTTTTAACAAGTGCAAAATTTTCGTAATGAATTACCGAACATAAAAAATTCTATTATCATATACCCAAAATAAATATTTTTACGTGACAAAAAATCCCTTTCCATGACGCTTATTCAGTTTTTGCTAACATTTAGCGCGTATTTAGCTACGTTTGTATAACACAAATGACGTCACGCAAAAATACCATTTTTTCGAAAATCACCAAAGCGGCACGGATGTTTTTTATAAAATTTTTTTTCACATTTCTACAGTTTAGAAAAATTTTTAACCTAGCAAGAAAGGCAAAATTCATGCTGAATTCAAAAATAAAAAAAAAAAATATATTGGAAACAATGGATTCTTTTTTTATTAAAAAAGTCAATTTCCATATTAACTAATATTTTAAACTGTCATACTGAACATATTTTTTCTAAAAATAAGTTTTTTTTGTTTCTTTACTCAAGAAAAACCCAAAAAAAGTAAACTTTAGTTATGCAAAAAAAAAGATATCGAAAATTTCATAGAATTTTTTAAAATTTATGATTTTTTAAAAAAAAAATCAATTTTTTAAAATTTAAAATAAAAAATTTTTGTTTTCGTTTACTAATTTTAACGGGCAGTTTCCATGGTTATCGCATATTCCAACTTCAAAAAACCCGATTTTTTACTTATAATAGGTTGTATCCTGCATTGTTATCTATCGAAAAAAA